GGGAAGGATTGTGTGTAGGTGCGGAGCGGAGGGCGGAGCGGAGGAGACAATGGAGGTGGATGAGTGAATGAGGATGGAAGAAAGGGGAGAGAAGAATGACTGAAGAGAGAATGGAAGAACAGAAGAAAAGGAAAGGACTCAATTGTGTCTAATTTTAATGCAAAACATCAGAAGGCATTAAAAACCTTGAGATAGACAAGAAAAGACTTAGCCAACTTAAATAAATAACACGTTTACGCTAACAAGAGCAGGTTAGGCCACATACAGGCATCAACAATTTGCAGGAAGACTACCAGCTCTCTACTATAGATGAAGTGTCTCCAGGCCATTCGATCCAGAAACTTGAGGACTCATGTGGGAACAATGGCCTTGCTGTTGAACCTAAATGAAAGTGATGGGGGAATCATCACAAAATTGCTGCGCCATACTGAGGCCACTCATTGCCTGAGATAGCGAAGACCGCTACTCGGACGGGGTTAATAGACTTTCTGTCTGCTTGAGTGCGTGTGTGCACTTCTCCTGAACGGCTCGGCTGTTCTGGCTGAAATTTTGCAGAGTCATTAGATATGTCTTTCGCTCGCCACACACTAAAAATCAGGCATCTATCTCAATTTCTTCATTTAAATTAAGCAGAAAACACCTAAAAATCGCAGAGCAATGCAAGATTAATATGAGCGGGAGGAGGACTTCGGCCAGGATTGGTGTTAGACCTGCATGTCTCAACTTCTGTGACAGCTTACCGAAGGCGAACAGAAAGCGCCGCAGGCTAAGGCAGGTGTTAACGCCACGCGTGGGTTGTCGTAACTGGCGCAGCATCGCGAAGCCTGCCACAACAAGGCACGGTCTGGCGTACACCCACCTTGTGAACGCCATGTGTATTCGTGCAGGAGTGACCTTCAGTTGAAGGAGTCATCTTTTCAATGACGGGGCATTCGACCTCACGCCGATAGCAATGAGGACTCCTGAAGAAGCACCGGCCATAAAAAGACAATGCAGAGAGAAAAGCCAGAGAACACCAGAAGAAAATCGTCTGAGTGGAGTGCGAACGCCTGCCAAAAGATCTCTGCTCTATAAGGATTTGACTTCTGTACGATTCCATACTAGTACGTAGTGCTTAACTTGATTATTTTGTAAGAAATTAAAAGCATAAATCTTTAAACGGTGTCGGCCAAAACAAAACGTTCTGCGCCGTAAAATACGTACCCTAATCGGCAAAACCGTTATGGTCTGTCACGTGATAGTTTCAAGTTGGAGATTTGAAAAAAAAAAATCATTTCTCCACATTTTACATACCGAATACGCTCCATTTCCAGACTGGCCTACGACGATTGCAAGTCCGACAGCTGGATATAATTTGATTTCTTAGGTTCAAGTCAAAGGTGCAATATCCGGTTCCACCAGCCTCCGTCTTTGCGGCGGTGCCCTGCTGTCCACCACGCATGTTGTCACGGCAGCTGCTTGCGTTCTGTAAGTAACTCAGTTTGAATGATACAATGGTCCAATGAGTTGGACCTTCTCTTAACACTTAATCCTGTAAGTTGCATTGCTTTCATTAATTATCTCAATCAGCTTCTTCAATATTTAATTTGCCCCTTCTCAGCCTGATGTAGTCAATCGAAGAGATGTGCCTGATTGCAAGAAGGAGCACTGTTCAATATAAGAGTACGGTGTCTGACAATACTAAGACTTTGTACAATCGAAGAAGGGCTTTCTCTCTCTTCCTCTGCTCAACTGCATTTCATGATAATATGTTCAGTAAAAAAAAAGTGTCTTGAGAATTGCAATTGATCCATTATTAGAACATTGATTTCAGGGGCATTAAAATTGATTTTACAGTATCAACGCTCCATGATTTGCCTATGCAGCGACTCCTTGCGGAAATTGATAATCCACAATCAGTGAAATGTTCTGGGAATCCGAACAATGTTTCGCATTCATTGGGACCTAGGTACTCGTGCTTTTCATTGTAGAGTACTGGAGGTAGCTTATCTGGGCCTGTGTGTGATCAAATAATGATAAAAATTACCTTCAGAAAACCCAATGTTGAGAATATGATATCTCTAATTGAATTAAAAAAAAAATTTCTTCCTTTTTTAAAAAAAAAGAGGGCACGAACCGCAGCACTGTGATGCTCTGTTGCCTGTAATGGTTGGTACGATGTCAACCAGTGCAATTCTGGGAGGTTGCAGATAGGACTGCAGTGGCTTCCATTCACTAACTCTCTCTCTAGGTACTTGCATGTCTGGAATGTTACCCCAAAAATTACGCCTCCTGTACATAGGCTTAAAATTGGAGCTGCAGTGCTTCGTGGGGCTGCAGGCAAGATTCCTGCAAAGCAGCAACGCAGACCAATTTTTAAGAATGACTAGAAACACCATAAAACGTAAGGTTGTGAACAAATGGGTAGTCTTCTTCTTAATACCTCGAAATTTCCTCTTCTGTCTTCCTATCCATTGCAGCTGTGTTCTCAAATAGCCAGAAAAGTGGTTTTCGGTCACTGCTTTTTGTTTGCAAGTAATTCAGGATACGCTTGAACTCATAAAATAAGTGACCACTTCCTGATTCATCTGTAACAGACGAGAAATGTGTTACAGGTTTTTTTTTTAATAAATGTAATTCATAAGGATTCTACAAAGAAAAACCGTACCATTAAGTCCTTTTCTTCTCCAGTTGACCTTAGAGAGCTCTGAGCAAGGGCTTCCTCCCACAAGAAGGCCAATGGAACCCATCTTGTCCAACATCTCAGTGGTGATGCCCTTCACACATCCCACCTTTATGATAGCATCTTTGAAATTGTGTTCCTGTATTCGAAGGCAATCTTCATCGATTTCACTCGAGTAATATTTATCAACTTTAAGATGTAGGTCTCTCAAAACAAGTAAAGCTGTACCTATACCGTCGAAGACGGAAAGGACAATCAATTCCCGTCTCTGCGAGCCAGAAGAGTGCTGCAACTGAAATGAGCTCAAAATGAAGCCTTTTCATCATACTGCCAAACGCAAAATATAAACTTACATGAGTTAAAGGTGGGAGTGGAGTAACACTGGGCGGCGGTTCATCAAAACCCCTAAACCCCTCACTGCGAATGTCGTCAAGAACTGCCAATAAGAAATTAAAGAAAATTCCCAATTGGCTTCGAACACTCGAAGGTTAAGTCGTAACCCTTGTCTTGAAGTGTCCATAATACTAACCTCTGGAATCATGAGCTGCACTTTCTGTGTCACTGAGACTGCCATTGCTGTGTTTCCCAACTTGTCGTTTGGCAGCTTTTATTGCCTTAGAAAAGAGTTCAGAACAGAAATTATAATGAGGTTATGTGAAAGGTTAGGTGGGACGAGCCCCACGTCAGACTTATTAAACCTACATAAACTTGAAAGGGTTTAACCCCCTTTGGTGGACGAGTGAAACACGTCTTGTAAGCCTTTCTCCTGCCCATTGTTCCGAAAGGATGAGTACGAATTGATTTGTCTGCGTCGAAATACACAACCAAAAGTATCAACAATGGAGCTCATGGAATGAGAGAAACTTGAGTACCCGCATAAGCCGCCAAGGCAGTTCTGACGCCCCCTTCTTTCTTCTTCCAGAAGTCTAGTGTGCTTTTAGTTCTTGATACTCTGATCTAACAGAAAAACGTCTGTCCACTATGAAAGGTGACCTAGGAATGGAGATATGAAGCAACTACATTGAGTCACCAGTGGTGTCGGTTTTGAACTCATATAGAGTAATCCCATTTAAGAAAAGACACTTAGTGGTACGACCCCCTCCGATCGTCCTGATGTTTTGTGGGCATGTTATCAACCTAAAAAGACGACAAAAGCCAAAATATTATGTCCGGCAAAAATTTATTGGCTGAGTTATAGCCCAGCAAAGTTACACAAATATGAATTTGGGTATTTTGCCTCATGCAATCAATTTATGCACCAAGTGGCTGAGAAAGGTACCCCGTTACGTAAAATTGTCCAAGGAACAAGATTTTGCCCACAGATCGGACCTGCGGCCAATATTTCTTGACAATATGGCCTAAAAACCACTGAAAATTGACTAAAATAGCACATTTGTCTTGGGATTTCCGGGATATAGTAGTTTTGTTGGCCCTTTAGTGTCTTGAATCGATAGAAAAAATCGTTATGAATCCAATGAGCACCCACCCACATTTGTATCTCCAGCCGTTTAGAAGTTATGGTGCTCCAAAGCACGATTTTTGGAAAATTTCGCGTTGTCTAAGCGCTAATGCATAGCAAAAATGCGAATTTTCCCAAAAATCAAGCTTTGGAGCGTCATAACTTCTAAACGGCTGGAGATACAAATGTGGGCGAGCGCTCATTGGATTCAGGACCATTTTTATCATCGATTGAAGACACTCAAGGGCCAACAAAACTACTATATTCCGAAAATCCCAAGACAAATGTGCTATTTTTGTCAATTTTTAGTGGTTTTTAGTCCATATTGTCAAGAAATATTGGCCGCAGGTCCGATCTGTGGGCAAAATCTTGTTCCTTGGACAATTTTACGTAACGTGGTACCTGTCTCAGCCACTCGGTGCATAAATTGATTGCATGAGGTAAAATACCCAAATTCATGTTTGTGTAACTTTGCTGGGCTATAACTCAGGCAATAAATTTTTGCCGGACATAATATTTTGGCTTTTGTCGTCTTTTTAGGTTGATAACATGCCCACAAAACATCAGGACGATCGGAGGGGGTCGCACCACTAAGTGTCTTTTCTTAAATGGGATTACTCATACCAACAAAAATGATCTAATGTTCTCTTCTTCTGCCAGAAGTTTAGTGCTTTCAGTGCTTCAGACTCCAAACTAACAGGAAAACGTCCCACTACTATGAAAAGTGACCTGCGAATAGAAATATATGGCAACTACTCTGAGGCACCAGTGGATTTTGGTATCATACTAATGTAGGTTCAGTTACATTATTCACAATTTGTACATTAACATGATTCACATTCTCTACATTAACATGCACTCACTCTTAACATATTTCGCATGGCTGCGGCTGATGATGAAAATCAGAAACTTGGTGGTACCACTTTCCGTAACTCAGCGAAACTCTCTGAGCAAAAGGACTATGATAACACATCCTGGGACCTGGACTGGGATCCCATGGATCCTTATGGTTCATTCATGGATCAAAAGATGCTCCTTTTAATGCTAAATATTCTGGTGGAAACCCCATGTCTCTATCTTATCCGGTTCAGATTCTGCAGCTGTGGTTTCCTCAGCATTTGAGTTTCCGAAGCTGGGTGAGGTCTCGGTGTGAAATTGGTTCGGTCTTTTCAGTGACTAGTTTTCATTTGATGTGACTGCCTTTGGTGCCATTCGGTGGGATCTCAAGTCAGTTTTGTCAATCAAAGCTCTGGGGAAAAAAAAATAATTTTAAAAAAATATGAAATGAGTGCAAATCAGGTGATGTGCACTGTAAGTTGGGATACTATTTGTATGGTTCCACTAATGCCAGAGGTGTGTGTCCCAAGGCTATTTTGATTCATAATCGCACACTCTAAAGGAATGACTAACAGCTGTGACTGGGAAAAATAATCAGATTTCATTAACTTGGTCCTCACTTTCCCCACTTTGTGTGATTGAGGCGGATTGTAGGAGTACAAAATACAAAAAAAAATGCCACCAAAGTCTGATTTCACATGTGTATTTAAGCACGAAGTATTATCGAAAAGGAAAGAAATAGAACGAAAATACAAAGAACGGTCCTTATGTCTTATTGCGGGTTGGCCGGAGCGGGTGGAGGAGGATGACCGCCGCCGCCGCCGATCTGCGCCCGGTACTCTTCGTACTCTTCCTTGACGCGTCTTCGGACGTCATCGTCTAACGCTGGCTCCCGTGTTAACTCCTTCATGTCTTCCCAGCGCTGCGACGAGATAGAAAATAGGATAATAAAAACAAAGCAACGACCTTCTGCTATGCGAACCGTGCAGGGGGGATGTCAGAGACTGCTGCTCTCACCTTGCCGCAATAGGGGCACCTGAACGGTCTTGTCACTTTGGAGAGGCAATGCGCGCAGATGTGTTCTCCGCACGGCATCCTCCATGGTTTCCTCTCACGCACATTGAAAAACTCTTTGCACTGGGGGCACCTCAATTCGTCTAATGCGTAATCCACCACCGCATGTGACATGATGCTGACGACGATGCTGTTGATGTCGCTCAGAACGTGAACCTATTTGCAGGTTAGGGTTGGATAGAGGCCTTATGGTGTCGCCATGTTGTTGGTGTGCGGCCATTGCCAACGTCCGAAAAGAAAAAAACACGACTTTCGACCTCGTTTGCACTATACAAATAAGTTACTCCTTTAACCCTGAAACAGCCAATGTAGCCATTTGGCTACAACTCTTAAATTTTGCGCGAGAGTCTGCCATTAACAATCGAAATGGGGCCTCCGGAACACTCGGTCAGAGTGTCCGAGTGCACCGGAGGACTTTTTATGGCGATTTTAAGCCGCGCGCCGAAACGCTCTGCCGGGATTGGCGACAGGTTGCGATCTGAGCGCTCCCTGGTGGCGACTGGAGTCACTCCGAGTCTGTCAAACTGGAAGCTGCCTCCACTACTATTCTCTGCTTCTGTCGTTTCGTGTTGTTTACAAGGAGGCAGGTAATATCATCGTACACAATCTTCAAATCGCGGGCCCCAAGACGGTTTAAGACTTTCTTTTCATCAAACTCTCTGAGCAGCAGGTGAGACAGTTGAAAAAAATTTCCAAGTGTAACAATTTGAGGTTATGACAGCGTGAAAAGATGATGACATTGCCCTTTTTATTTCTGTGTAGAACAATGAATTCCAGAGACGAACAGAGAGCCAAACAACATTTTCACAACATTTTCTAAGACCGCGTGACGGGAGATTGAAGAAAAGCGACCGTCACTGAGCATTAGTGCCCCTCGATTTCCGTGTTTTGCGTGGTCTCGCGGATCGCCGCCACACCAGCCATTGGATTTGCAGCCCCCTGGGCGAGCTTTAAGACCTTGCAAAATCTCGGCCAGATCGGCCGAGCCGCTCAGGAGGAGTAGTGCGCACAGACACACACACACACAGACGAAGTTTTCTAACCCCACTGGAGTAACGGGCTTCGCTATCGCTCAGCCAACAAGGTTGGTGTACGCCAGACAGCGGCTTGTAACAGGCTTCGCGATGCTGCGCCAGCTCCGACAATAGGGTACTTCGTAGAATACCCAGAGACCGGAAGTCAGCGCCAGAACGGGAGAAACAAAAGAGCGTCGGGAGGTCGTGCTGAGTGGTGGTGGGGGTTGAAATCGGCGGAGTGGGGGTGAAAGCAATCAATTTAGCAGCTTCTTGAAAGGAATTCAAAGATTGAGTAACAACACCACAGAAGGAGAGGACACCCGTCAGGCTAGATGCAGTATTAATATGATTTTCAAAATACTCGTTAACGATTGACTTCTTTCCTTCCACAGTAACGGTAGCCGCGCATTTAGCAACATTTTTGTGGATTGACTCAATACCACGCACAAGACTTAAAGCACCTTTGGCCGCTGATTGTACAGCGTGCAAATGTGACAGTGAACGAGACCAAACGTCAACCAGACTTTTCAGAGAATTTACTAACTCATCAAGACGGTCTAACTGAATCTGCAACGCTGCACAGAAATCTTAGCAGGCTTTCGTGAAGTCTGAACAGAATGGATTGGGAAGCGGAGCGAGTCGGCAGACTCTCTCGTCACACATCACCACTCCAAAAGTCCTGATTGGACATCAATGCAGCATTCGGTTTCAACTTTTGAGCCGGGACCACCCTTCTATGTACTGGACGACGAGGTTGATTCACTGGTCAAGCTGCATGATATTGGTTTGACACTCTAACCTGGATCGGAGGTCGAAATAGATTCCAGTTTCGTTTTCAGCACCCTCCAAATCAGACGATATGATGAAAAATTTGACATGAACATACGTCAGTAAATAGTCTATTTTCTGCCGTTTAAGCGCTTTACAGCTGACCACATGGTTTGAGATGGAAAGCTGAATTTTGGTGTGTCGCGAGCCAAAAATATGCCTTATCACCCTGCAAAATCTTAGCAGAATCGGCCGAGCCGTTTAGGGAGCAGAGCGGACACAGACAAATAGACATGAAAAATTTTGCAACCTTACTGGAGCTATCGCTCAGCCAACAACTAAAATTGCTTACCACCATGCACACGTTTACACTGGTAGAACTCAAGCGTACTTTTACGCCTTTTTCTTGCGGTGTGGTGGGTGATTGTGTCGGAACGCTTTGTAGTCGCCCAGAGTTTCGCAGGAAAGCATCCATCCACTCATTATCAATTTTGGTCTTACCTTCCAAACGCCTCATTCCTTCCAGTGTATTCCTTCGCCATTCTCTGGAGGAGGATGTTCAGAAACAAGGGCGGGTCGTCTTGGACTAATGGATCCATGCCAGGTTCAAAGGCTGCAATCGAATTCTTGGTTAACAGAAAGAGCGTGACATAGAATTCATTTTGGAAGCAATTAAATTTTACTGCAGCTCCAGTACAACACCTTCACTTTCGGCACAACATAGTTTTCGTGTACTGTTGACATGTTGGCCGTCCACCCTGCCACGGGCAGTCTTCCGCGCAGTTAACTTCGGTCATTTGGAGCTCATTCATGTGAAAGAAGAACACCCTCATCACACTAAGATTTGTTGGCAAAGCGTTGTCGTCGAAACCAAACTCGGCCAGGCGGTAGCCGAAAACGTCCCGGAAAAACTCTTCTTGTTTTGGAAGCGACATGATGACAACACAGAAGGCACCTGTCGCCGAACGGCTCCGCAACCTCTGACCTGCCCGGAAGTCTAGCAGAGGAAGAATTTTTGAGCCACCCGCTCGTGCTCTTGCTCGGTTAGCCGCTCATCGGTGATGTCCGTGGCAACGGTGCATTGCCACGGACAACCCTCAGGACAGAAAATAACCTTCACAAAATTGAGCTTGCAGTCCTGCTCAAAAGTCGAAATTGTGGCAAGGCCATGGGTCGCCGCCGCCGTCGCCTGGCCGTTGCGAGCCGCGCAAGCGGAGCCATCCCCCTCCCCTCTGTTGGCGGCGGCGGTTCGCGTGCTCGCTTCAAACGGGGAAACGCGTCGGGGGAATTGGCCAATTTTCGCAGCGAAGTTGCTTAGGCCTTAGGGGCTGCCCCCCAGGTTCTTGAAGGGGCGCGGTTTCTTGACAAGGATCATCGTGAGCCAGTAACCCATGGGCCCGAATCAGCGCCCTGTCCATCATGCCACGGAGCGTGATCCCGGGCTCAGGGCGGGTTTTCCTGAAGAACCGGGGACCTATCGTACTCTTCCTGGCACCCACGCCCCGGTGTACCGTAAACCGGGGTAACTTGAGACAGCAAGGGTAACTTGAGACACTTCTGCTTTTCCACCTTTTCGGAGCTGCCACCTGGCTCGGCACATTCGGAGGGCAAAACTGCCCCAGCACTTTTTTTCCTACTTGTTTGGAAAGACGATTAAGCGTTTGCATGGCGGGTTAGGACCAAGCTGGTCAGTTCTATGACGATTTTTCAATTTTAGTAAATTTAACAATTTTAGAGAAGTGTTACAAGTCTCCCTTGGTACTCGTAACACGTCTTGCTGAGACCCAAATGATCATAGTATCTTTCAACCCCATTATTTCAACATTCTAAATGCAGCATTGGTTTTGAGGGAAAGCCATCATTCATCGGGTAATACTGACTTTTATAGAAAATGGTAACTGTGCGGGGTAACTTGAGACACCAAATTTCATTGAATTTGACGAAAGTTGAGTGGTGTAACTTGACCTTGGCACCTCCATGTACTACAGGGTGGTTTAAAGCAACGGACCTCCCCGTTCTGAGATCAAAACTAAGCCCCATTTGATCGGGAATCACTTTTTTAGACAGTGTAGAGGGTCCCAAGTGGATACGCAGCTTAAAGTTGGAGTGTTTTCTCAACTACTCACGGACCAGATGAGACATAATAAATCTTGAAGTCTCAAAAGATGGGGAATTTAATTACCTTTCCAACGAGCTAAATGTCATTGAAATCGGACAACTTATAGCCCAAGAACCGTCGATTTTTTGAAGAAAAACAACTGTAAAAATAGTTAAGGGATTTTGAGTAAATTTTAAAAATTGACTAAGACTGTATACCTTTTGCAGGAATGGACTTGTGTACGTTGAAATGACGAAAAATGACTTAACAGGTGTCAGGGTTGAATGCGAAATGAGAGAATCGCTGTACTTAGTTGACAGGGTTGGATGTGAAATGGGAGAATCGTTGCGCTTCTGAAGTGCCGTTATCCCTCAAATTACCGAATGTAACTTTGATGAAAAAAATCTTAATATAAGGATCAAAAATCTTCTAATATATTCCACAAGTAGTACTTTTCATTGAAAATAAGTTAAATCTCAGAAAATCAGTATTGACTGGCAAAAACCCCACTTCCGTGAAAAAGCAAAGTGAAAACTAGGAGTGTCTCAAGTTACCCCAAATGACGGGGTAACTTGAGACAACTTTAGAGGCCCATTACTCTCATTTTAGGTGACCCCCAAAAACTTCATGCGGCCCAAACCGAATGTTACCATGTGAAATTAAACATAGTTGGGATTCGGGTTGGTGAGAGAAGTTTTGTGGACACACGGTCCAAAAGACGTGAAATATTGTCTCAAGTTACCCCGGTTTACGGTACTCCCCCACTTTTTTTTATTTAATATACATTTCTTTTTAGGTAATGACTTGTTCATTCTCAGTGCGATGAGTTCGGAAGTAAAACTTAAAAGTGAAACGAAAAGCATCCCTGCACTGTTATTCCAGGAACGTGACATCACGTTCAAACGAATGTGACAAAGTGTCAGGTTCATTTGAGCATTGTGTCACATTATTATCAGCCATAAATTAGCATATTCACATTCCAACGAATGTGACACAATGCTCAAACGATCGTGACATTTTGTCACATTCGTTTGAACGTGATGTCACGTTCTGGAGTGAGAGTGTGGGAGTTACTCCATAAAAGTCTCCCTCCTGCAGTCGGCTTCCGTGACGACTGGCTTCGGGCACGGCGAGATCGAGCTGGTGGTGCAGCACCGGGCCAACGAGCTGGCAGTGTGGCGGAAAGACCACCCGGCCGATGTGGTGACCGCCGCCGTGGACCCAACCGAGAGCGCCAGCCTGCCCAGCACCCTGCGCATCAGGCCGCACACTTGGGAGCTCGACATGCCGGTGCAGTTCAGTGGTTAGTAATACAAGACACTCTGGACGAAAAATTGCCCTCGCGTCAACATTCCTCTTAACCTAAGGGAATTCACTTTCATTCCAGGAACGTAACATCACGTTCAAACGGATGTGACAAAATGTCACGTTCATTCGCTCCACAAATCGAAGAGCGTACATTGTATGCTCTAACTGGAGCATGCCTGCCAAGCATGCACTTACGAGTGCATACATGCTAGGGTGGCCCACTTTTTTTAAAAGTTTCAAAAATAGAGGAGCGCCGTCCAGATTCTGAAAGAAGGTGTAAAATCATGAATTTTGATATAAATATGATTAGATTTGGACTATTTTTAGGGGTCCATCAACGCACCTGAACTTTAAAGAAAAATTGAAAATGGACTGGTTTACTAAAATCGATGCCATTTCGGGAGTCTTTGATCGATTTTTGATTGCAAAACGGCGATCGTTTCGGAAAAGTGCGTTTTACTCGATGATGTACATAACATGACGATCCAACGCATTGCCCATTTTCCAGGGGCATACAATCTCGTTTTTAGCCTCTAAATCCAACATGTTCCTGCGTTTCGAAGGTGTTTGAGTTGTCCGATCGGATTGCTTGGGGCACCATTCGACGCGCCTGATCAAAACCTTTCAAAAATTGTCTCGAGCGTCGAAATCGGTTTGGTTGCCTACTGTACAGGAGCAAAAAACCACTGAAATTTGACGGAAAAGTGCATTTTTGTGATACAAAATATCTGGTTTGGCATCTGGTCGGATTTTTTGTGTTGCCATTTGACGCGCCTGGTCAAAATCTTTCGATAGCCGTCTCAGACGTCCAAATCCGGTGGGTTGCCTATCCTCCAGACGAATTTTTCGACATTCGACATTTTTTGCTTGTAGGGTCGGCAACCCACCGGATTTGGACGTCTGCGACGGCTATCGAAAGTTTTTGACCAGACGCGAGAAATGGCACCACAAAAAATCCGACCAGATGCCAAACCAGATATTTTGTATCACAAAAGTGCACCACTGTAAAAAATATGTTGTGAATTTACGACGGAATATTTTCCGAAGGGTTTTTGGGAATGTCCAAAAGTGCACTGTAAATGTTTCTTTCCTACAGGAACTTTTGTAAATCAACGTAGGTTCGTCGTTAATTTACGAAGGTTCTTTGTAAATTTACGAAGAAAAATCGTAAATTTACAAAATCCGTTGTAAATTTACGAAGGGCTTCGTAAATTTACGACGGGCTTCGTTAATCTACGACGGGTCTTCGTGAATCTACGGCGAACCTTCGTAAATAAACGAAGGAAGTGTTGGCAATTTTTTTGCCGAAGGATCCGTCGTTAATTCCAGACGTATAATTACGAAGAATCTCTGTATATAAACGAAGTTTCTTTGTTTATAAACGAAGGTTCCCTGTAATTTACGAAGGATCTTTGTAGATTTACGAAGGTGCTTTGTAAAATTTCCATCGTGATTGGAAAATCAGCAGAGATCTTTCAAAAAATTAACGAAGGTTTTTGTAAATATACGAAGAGCTTCGTAAATTAACAAAGGAACCGTTGGCAATTTTTTTGCCGAAGGACCCGTCGTTTATTCCGGATATTAATTTTTACAGTGACTTTTCCGTCAAATTTCAGTGGTTTTTTGCTCCTGTACAGTAGGCAACCAAACCGATTTCGACGCTCGAGACAATTTTTGAAAGGTTTTGATCAGGCGCGTCGAATGGTGCCCCAAGCAATCCGATCGGACGACTCAAACACGTTCGAAACGCAGGAACATGTTGGATTAAGGGGCTAAAAACGAGATTGTACGCCCCTGGAAAATAGGCAATGCGTTGGATCGTCATGTTTTGTACGTCATCGAGTAAAACGCACTTTTCCGAAAAGATCGCCGTTTTGCAATCGAAAATCGGCCAAAGACTGCGGAAACAGCATCGATTTTAGTAAACCAGTCTATTTTCAATTTTTCTTTAAAGTTCAGGTGCGTTGATGGACCCCTAAAAATGGTCCAACTCTAATCATATTTGTATCAAAATTTAAGATTTTACACCTACTTTCAGAATCTGGACGGCGCTCCTCAATTTTTGAAACTTTAAAAAAAAGTGGGCCACCCTAATACATGCCATGTACACGCTATATGAAGCATGCGTCCAGTGCAAAAGGGATAGGGAGTTGCCTGCATCAGTTAGCGTGTACATGGCATGTATGCACTAGAAAGTGCATGCTTGGCAGGCATGCTCCAGTTAGAGCATATTGTATATACAATGGACGCTCTTCGTAGAGTGAGCATTGTTACAATGTGAATCAGCCATAAATTAGCTTTTCACGTTCAAACGAATGTGACAGAATGCATACAGGAACGTGACATCTTTTCACATTCGTTTCAACGTGATGTCACGTTCCTGGAATGAGTGTTCCACTTCGAAATCTGTTTCGGACACTAAACTCCCAACATCCTATTTGAATTGTAAAGTACTAAGAATCAGTTTGGCATTATGACAGCACAGCATTTCTTAGAAGGAAATTGGGATTGTACAACACTGCGAAAAAACTACAGAGAATCCTGGTAATTTTTTCGCAGCGTCGCTCTGTACCAAAAACTACAGTGATCTCCGTCTTTTAAAAGACGGAGCTCACTGTTGTTTTTGGTGTTCATCTCTCTGTTGTCCGAGCGGCCAATGCCACATCGGGACGGCATGGTCAAAGCCTCATAGGTCACCGTTTGGTCCCCGAGGACGTCAACGGGCACCTCACAGGGTCCCCGATGACGATGCGAGCATTTTAGACCTAGGTTCCGACCATTCGTTGAAAAGGACTCGTCAAGATCTACTCGAATCAAGAATTTCAAAAAATTCTTGGTCAACCCCCTTTTTTTAAGATCCTGATTGGTCGACTGGATCTTGAAATAACGGGGGTTGACCAAGAAATTTTTTTTATTCTTGATTCGAATAGATCTTGATGAGACCTTTTCAAGGAATAGTCGGAACTAGGTCTAAAATGCTCGCATCGTCATGGGACCCTGTGAGGTGCCCGCCGACGTCCTCGGGCACCCAACGAAGACCTATAAGCTTTGACCACGCTGTCCCGACGTGGCCTTGGCCGCTCCGACAACAGAGAGATGAACACCAAAAATAACAGTGACCTCCGTCTTTAAAGACGGAGATCACTGTAGTTTTGGGTACAGAGCGACGCTGTGAAAAAATCAACAGGATTCTCAGTAGTTTTTTCTCGCAGTGAACGTCTAGTGCGTGCATCGTACTCCCCTGCTGGATCAAATTCCTAACGAGTTATATTTATGGACCAGATGCTACAGTTGCCTGAACTTTAGTGCTGCGTTTTCAAGAGCGGGTGGCTGCCCAGGAGAAACTCAAACATCGACCCTGACACGGCGGGTGAAGACAATGGAAGAAAGTAAAAATGGAAAATTATAGAAGTAAAGAATAAATAATCATTGTACGCAGAAATACTCTCCTTGCGAACCAAGGTCAGCTTATCATGCGCGCTTCCCCTCCACGATACCTGACCAAGGAGAGGAAGAATTCGCACAGGGAAAATCAATTAAGATAACTGGACACTAATCAAGGCTGAAATCGTGCGCGCAGTGGCACCATGAATGATTTTGCAGACCTTTTTTACGTCCCTCATATAAGTGCCTCCCCTTATGCTAAAACACAATATTTTTTTTTTGAAATTGTTGCAAAAAGATTGATCTTTCGCATGGTTACTGCCGTTTGTCTCTAGCATTCATGGATATCTTTTCAATTCAGGTGCAGACAGAAAATTCGAAAAAAATTGAAAAAGCGTGCACGACGTGCTACTGCCCCCTAAAAACACTCTCCTTTTCATGAGAAGGAAAGTGTACGCCAGACAGCGTACTGTTTCCTGAGTGATACTGCAGCCTGTTACGCCAGTGGGGTTGATGAGTTTTGCATGTCTATCTGTGTACACTACTCCACCTGAACCGCTCAACCCATTCGGCTGAGATTTTGCACCGTCAGTAAGCATGTCCTTGGCACGCCACACACCAAAATTCGGGCAACTGACATTTGTCCTCATGCTAGGTTTTACATCATTTCATTTGTTTAAGAGGGCGCTGAAAATGAAAATACAAACATTAGGGTACTTCGGAGAAAACCTAGACCGGAAGTCAGCGATAGATCGGGAGAAACAAAAGACCATCGCGCGGCTGTGCTGAGCGGTGGAGGGGGCCGAAATGGGTGTAGTGGGGTGAAGCGGCGCGCGCAGCTGTCCCCACTCTGCCCATCCACGCCCCCACCACCGCTCAGCACGGCCTCGCGACGCTCGTTTGTTTCTCCCGTTCTGTCGCTGACTTCCGGTCTGGATTTCCTCCGAAGTACCCTATTTCGGCATCCGACTCAGGTTCGAGACCTAATACGATAAAAGTTAGCCAGAAGTTTAGGGGAGTCAAACCACAACTGTCACGCAACTTGACCAGCGAACCAATCACATCGCCCCGTACATGAAAGGGGGTTCCAGCAGGGGGCGGCAACGATACTGCTAGGACGGGGGCTATGCGCGATACCCCTACCATCATCCCTGTAGACCGTCACTGAGGTCACTTCCGGTCCAGTAGGAGGCACTTCCCTTGACGCAGTGTCATATTTTCACTGTTTGGAACAGTTGTTTAGCGTGCCACAGTCTGTCGATACAAAATATACCGATAAAACAACGTCAGAGCGGTGCCGGAGTGACGCTGCGGCTCTGCGTCGTTTGTTGGGGGAAGAAATAGAGCATTCTAGTGGTCGCCGATCGAAGAACATGAAGAAGAACAAAACCGGAAATCGGGTGGAAAGGGTGGGGGGCGAGTCGGGTCTGCGCATGCGCGCGCGCGCTGTCTGATAGGAGAGGCGGGAGGAGGAAGAAACGTTTAGGACGCTAAAACAAAGTTTAATTAAATGTGTTAAAGGATTAAATAGGTATGTAAGCGAATGTTATTTTAGAGTATGAAAAGTGCCTCAGTGACCGTGTGAGTGGAATATCATCGTTACAAGGCCATTTCGGCCATAAACAAGATACCTAACCTCACCCGCCGGCCGGTTTCTTTTTTATACTCAGTCTTTGACTTTTACGAACTGTCAATCCTTCAAATATTAAAGTCAGATATTTAAACCGTTAAACCTGATCTTACGTTGTTTTTTTTTTCAATTTTTCTCTTAATTTAACATATAAGTTCCCAGTATCCACCCAACGTCACCTGTTGCAGTTTTATCCTTTTGTAATATGCTTTGATGATACTTCCATGAAGATTCTGCCCATCATTATTTTATTCCGTTTTTATGCAGAATGGATTTCCTTGTCACTCCAACTAAGCGCCCCAAGGATGTACAGAAAGTGGCGTCAACTGATGAGAAAGTGTTATCAACGGACAAGAAGTGGAAGGTTGATAAAGTAAGCCACCATTCACTGTAAGTAATGTAGTTTGTTTTCAAACAAGTTTCTAACTTTGCATCCATTTGTTTAGGTTGATGTCACGCCTCCGAAATCACCTCCATTACTGAACAATGTGAGTATCCCTTCTTTGTAATGTGATACAGCTAGATGATTCGTACTCTGATAGTCAAGACATAAAATATTTTGATCCTTTCTTTTTTTTTCGTGATTTGATTGTTTCTTTATGGGTGATCTTTTAGTGGTTAAATCATGTGCCTCCTGAGGAACCAGTGAAACCGTTACATCCACCCATAGTTTTCAATGACTGGAAAGGGTTGCCTCATGCACATAGCGGTCTTACAAATTTGCACAATACGTGCTTCATTAGTTCAGTTATTCAGGTAATGATAAATAAAAATTGTGATTCTTTACTCTTTGTTATAATACTAATTTGGGTTCTTGTCATATCACAGGCTATCTTCCATGTTCCACCATTTGTGAAATGGTTACATAGTCATGAAAAATGCAGCTCTATGTTTTGTATTACCTGTGGTTTAAAAAATTTAATGGTTAAATGACTAAAAAGTAAAAACTACAGACCAGCAACCCTGGTTGCTCACTGAGAGGTAAGGAATCTCATTTGATTTGTCTTATATGCGTCCAGAAGAAACTTTTGCGAATCAATGTATTATTCTATGAAATGTACACGTTACAGTTCACGCGCCAAATCTAGTTAAAGCAGAACAAACTCAAGAGGATGCTGAAGAGTTCCTAAGCCAACTATTGGGTATTTTGGAGGGAGAGTTTTTTCTACGGTCCAAACTTAAAAGTGACAGGTAATGTTGCCCCCCTTTGTTTAAATTTAATCTCTTAACTATTAACATCATTTAATGTATTTGCAGTCTGGAGTATCTCACTAAGCTCAACCACTCCAACAAACAGAATCTTCATGGGCTGGATGAAGACCAAAAGTAAGTGTTCATTGTTTCTTATCATTGTATGTCCTCCTTACCAATGGCTTGCATTTTTACAGATACATGTACAAATTGTGGTGCTCAGTCGGAAACTTACTCTCCTTTCTGTCATTTGGAGGTAGCTCCCCAAAAATTTCGGGCAGGAGCACAGTCTTTGCAAGTTATGATCTCAGATTATTTCAACACCGATCGTATCTCGTTGAAGTGCACATGTAACCACAAGACTGCTGCTAAGGTGTATTCTGTTCACAAGAGCCCTCTGGTCCTCGTTGTTCAGGTAAAAGGTGAGTGACGATCCATTTAGGAATTTGGAAAGTTTTCCAATGCATCTCAGTTGACATCTTTTTTTTACAGGTTTCCTGCTGTTGTGTGTTAAGAATCCAAGTCTTGTTATTTTTACTCATCATTGACTGTACCTGGTGTAAAGGAAACATATGATCTTAATTCTGTTGTTGTCACAAAGGTCCTACCATGACCAATGGGCATTACGTTGCGCTGGCTAAATGCCCTAATAGAAGAGTTCATCTCTTTGATGATGACAATGTGAGTGCTGTTTCGTGTTCCACAGTTGTACTCATATGAATGTTTTTACATGACCGTGCCATATTCTTTGGTCAGCTCTCCTAATCGTGTGTTTTCCTTAACAGGTGTCGCCTGCTTCCTTCAGTGACCCAGAGGCCTTACAAGGATGTTACTTGCTCTTCTACACTAGATGCCCCGAAGTTCCTAAGTTAGTTAATTAAAACTGTTCTGCCATCAAACCTCAAGGAAGTGCAAGGTAAATCATCCGTACTGCTATTATTATTCTAATTTTTCCTTTGTCAAATATCTAATTAATAATCTGTCCTCTATTAATATTCACCGTATTGTGTAATCATGCTTCAACTAATTTCTTTATTTTTCGGTAAATACTAGCAACCAAAAGGCAATAGTTTGCTGAAACCAAAGGTAAAAATACATCTTTGTTACATTCATTACTTGACACGTTCACAGATACTTCTAGTTTAAATTTCTTTTTTTTTCAGGTACCCCTCCCTGTGTCTTCAAAGGACCATATTATTATTGGGAACTCCCAGACCAATAGTAATGCAGCATCTGTCGCACCCATTTCCATGACCATTTCAAAGAAAAGGAGGAAAGAGCCGAAGGTAGTCTGCACTTCTTAAACTTATGTAATTGTCTCAAGACAGTCTTTTGAGTTTTTTATCAGTCATATTAATTAAAATTATTTGTGCTTCTTCCTCTCAGACACATTCAAGTCAATCGTCCAATGATTATGCCATCCTGAGCTCACTCACCGCCCTACTATTTCACCCCCTGCACATCAAAAGGTCAAGAAAGAACATCCGAAGGTATGCCAATACTGTAGAAAAATATTTTGCAGGTACCATGAGACTGAAATCTGGGAACATTTTTCTATGCTATATTTCAGACACATTCCAGTCAGTCTTCTAATGACTATGCTATACTGAATACAACCCACCAGCCTGTACTTTCCCCGTTGCTTATCAAGAGATCTAGGAGAGATGAGCCGAAGGTATCACCTTATTACAGCTATGGAAGTTATCACTGGCTTAGTTCCTCTGTTGTCTTATTTTTTTTATATACTTCACTTTTTTTTTGTTTTTCTCAGACTCATTCCTCTCAATCATCTCATGATTATGAGATCCAAAGGAATATTAAGAAGGTGGTGGAGGCAAATAGCGCTATTCGGCCCAATGTGAGCATTGCATTTTATTTAACTATTCCAAAGGGTGAATTAAAGAGCACTGCACACTGTAATACTGTACATTTTCAGGTTGATGCTTCTCACTCAAACGTTGAACTTACCCCTGATTTCAAGCCTGCAGTAAGTTAAAATCAATTTCTGTCTGTCCTGATTCTGTTATAATAAGAAGAGGCGTGATCTCTCTTTTAACTAATGGAATATGCTTCATTATATCCGCTGTTTCAGGTGCATTCAACCCAAATGGTAAATGAGTCACACAAAAGGCAGCTCTTCACTTCTCCAACAAAGTCTCCGTTACACCCGTGCTAGTCTTTGACGGAGGAAGTGAGATGGGTAACCAAAGGTTCCAGAAGTTGCAGACACACGTAAGTTCAATTTTAAAAATGGCGAGTAAATATTTTTATCCGTAAAGTCCCTCACACAATGCACATTACCATTTTCAAATCCTTCTGTTCCAGGCACCTGTCGACCAACAACAACAAGCTGCCCACAATTTCTAAGCTTGTTCAGTTACCATTCAAAGTTGTTGAGCAGAATACTGTTGCACAGCTTCAAGAGTTTCTGAAATGTAGGGATATCCCACACACAGCACCTCGAAAGGCAGAACTTGTCTCAAGGTTCATTCAGCATCCTTGCATTTGTTTTATATGGCCCTGGTATGAATGTTGCATTTAATAATAAAAATAATTCTCTTCTATCAGGGTTGAAGGTACATTGCATTGCATGGTGACGAAGAAATGCATACAATTATTCCTGACATGAATGCGGAAACAACTCACCGCCTGAGGTTTGTACTTTATCATTATACTACAAAATTCAATTGTGCTAATTATTGGCTTATGTCTTGCGCTCTGCTCACATTGTTGAAGTGTACAATGCATGCAATATTAAGTACTACTTTTCTTTGACAGCTGTGTAGTCAGGTGTCTGTGAATTTCCAAGCAGTGGGTGGGGTCCATTTCCTAGCCAAAACATTCCAAATACCTTTCATTTTGGTAGAATATATGATTATTTAGTAGAAAGTGCCCCCCAATATGCTCCAGAATTTCTACATGACACTGTTCAGGAAATGGACTCAGAAGATGAACTGGAACTTTCTGTTGGCCCAAATTGTAAGTGACTGTCAATGGCTTCCTTTCCTTTCCTTACTTGCAGATAGATTTTATTGGTAATGTGTTTATAATTATTAATTTATGTGTTTGCACTCTTTTGTTTTGAAGGTGTACCCAATCATGGAAATCAGTGACTGAATTTGACCTCCAACCTGAAGCAAATGGTTTTAAAGACCCTTTTGATACAGAAAGAGGATTCATCAATGATGTAAAGAAGCTGAGGCAGGGATTTAAATTTTTAAAAAGCAGGCATGCTCGTAGGATTCTAGATACGGTGAATGGTAACTTATACTTTGTGAAGTGTGACATGAAGGCATCCATGGAGAAAAAATTCTACAAAGTCAAAGTTGCCATATCCATCCCCTCTGGCAATATAAAATTCTGCCAATGCGAATGTGGTGCGCAAGCACTTCGCAGGTGCTGCCATATAAGTGGTCTCTTGCTTCATGTGTGGTGTCATGTAAGAATCAACGGTTTTGAAGGTAAGCATATTCTCATTAATGAAAGAACCATGATCAAGAACATTAAGGTACATATTCTAACAAATCCTCCTTTGAATGCACTATCCTAGAGTCACCTTACTGCTTGAGGAAGTCACACATTTTTAACAAAATTTATTTACTGTACCAGTCATGGCTCCCTCAGTAATTTGATATATTCTGCAACCAATGGGGCATTTCTCAACCATACATTTTTATGTGAGGTGATTTTCTGGATCATTTCATTAGTCATTTTGAAATTTAGAAAACCATGACAAATTTGTACTTTCTTATCCCATTTCTAAACCTTACATTTAATTACACAAAATTCAATAATTACATTCCACTGAAAAGGTTATAACCGACTTACTTTTCACAATAACTGTGTCATTTTCATCATTTTTCATCAAACAATCCCATTTTGTTCATCAAACAATCCCATTTTGGATGCCATGGAAGCTTCACGGGAGGGAGGCAGTGACTCATGCCATCTGGTTTGTTCACAACACATAAATTAATAGCATTGACCTACATAAATTAATTAATTATCATATTTTGGGAAGCTAACAGCAATGTTGATTGTGACTAACAGTGTACTATGTGGCCTTGTACTAACAACTATTTATGTGTTATGTGTGTGCATGGCTTATAGCGAGGCTTGATGCTGCCTTTTGTGTCGCACCTTGTATTTTCTTTAAAAAAATGTAATGGGATACTTTTATTAATCAGTTATTTTTTTTAGCCTTCACTTCACGGTGGCATTGTTTGCGGCGGATTTAAGGTAAGCCAAGCTGCTCCTCTCCACAGATGGATTTCCAGGTGTCCCAGTTTTAATGTCAGATACAGTGCATGTTCGTAAGTATCTCTGACAATGTTCAAGAAAGCATGAACTGTGTTTGTTCAGTAGTTGCTTAATTGTACTGCTTTTGGGTTTAAATAAATAAAAGAAATAAAAGAAATATTTTATTTGCATAATTTTCAGTGGCAACCTTCTGACAATGACACAATAAATTAATTACACATTGTTAAAACAATCAATCTGCAGAAGTTTTCTTAGATTTCTTCTTTCTAGACTTTGATTTGATAGCACGATTACAGAAGTTGGTCAAGTAAGCACAGACATATATTAAATCATCCATCACTCCTCTCATAGTTAAGGGAATTGTGTATCTCACAAGCCTGAAATCCTTTATCTTTCCTATGGCATGTTCAATGTAAATTCTCGCTTGAGAAACAGCTGAATTGTACAGTTCCGCAGCTGCTGTCAAGGGCTTACCTTCAATAAAATCTGGCGGCTTGATTTGTTTTAACCCCAATTTCAAGCAGCTCACCAACAACATTAAATCCACGATCACACATGACATCATCACCCCTTTCAAGTAAATTCATCAGACCACAACTCTTCATTATTTCCTTGTCAGATTTGCTACCTTCAAATCCTTCACTGACATACATAATACCTCCATAACATGAGATGCCAATCAAGTACTTAAATGTATTGTAATGTTTGTATTGAGAGTACGTGTTATTTTGTTGATCAGCATTGGAGGGTATCTGCGTCCTAAACTCAGCACCATCAATAATAATTCTAACATCAGGAAACGCCTTGAAAGGTGCAGGCCTGTTACTTTGCTGCTGCTGTCTTGTCAAAAACATAGCCTCTTGCATACCCTTGAAATTATTGGCCACTTTTCGGAGGACACCAAAGAATATAAAGCCACAGTACGCTGTGCTGATCCCAAACTGATAAGCTAGATCTCTCAAAGGAGTTCCTCTCCGCAGCCTCACCAGCATGAGCAGCAACCTGCTCCTTGCAGATATTTTTGATGGTAAAGCAGTTCTTCGATTTGGTGTCCTCATTTTGTAGTCATACTTCAGGTGCATGATACCCTCTTCTCCATCAAGCAAAATGAACAGTGCCTCAAAGTTCAGTTTTGAAAGGCCACAGAAAAAACTGAAATCTTTGTCACTCATATTTTCATGCCATAGTTCATATGATACAATGCACCTGATGTAGATAGTTTTCACTCCATTCTTCACGGCGACAGCAGTTTCATCCTGAAACAAAGTACAAGCAAGACATGAGCATGAGAAATCGACATAAGCAAGGGAAACTCACATTGAAATGTCTAATATTTATATAATTTAGTGATTTAAAAAAGAAAAGAATGTTGAGAGTGAAATTATTCTTAATAAACTGAAAGTAAAAATTATGGTAGGGATTAGGGATAGATTAAAAAATGTAACATTTAAGTGTGATGTAATAGCCCATGTGATCTTTTACTTTCAGCTGTTTCATGCACTTCACTCCCCAGTTACTGGAATGCTGGATCGTTGAAGACAAATCCTGGCCGAATCAAAGATAACAGATATGATTCAGTAAAATTAGATGTTGAACGGAGAGCCAAATTTGATACCAGACCGACACGAGACCAAAGTACACTTGCTAGTCAAGCAGATTTAAGAAGTTTTGTTGCATATCTTACTGGAAATCCGTACAAAACACTGTGGCAGATGCACATTCCGCTTACTTATGAGGACTACTCTTGGAAAGATGTGACAATGAAGGAGAGACTGGTGCTACGGATATTATCAAAGACATTAATCAAGAGCTTAGCAACAGTGGACCCCAATCCCGAGGTAATGAGAGAAGTGTTCTCAGGAACTAGTCACGGCATGAGAGTTTTTGAATTTATGGACACAGTTGGGCAGGGTGATAACTCAAAGTGGCTGGCTGCGAGAGGGTTGAGACTGACAGCATCGATCACCTACAAAGTGCTACATTTCGAACAAGAAAAGGCCAAGAGATCATTTTTAAGACAACATCTATGGGGCCTGAAGAATGACAAAGAAGAAACAGGAGAGAAATCTGACACAGGGACACCACCAGCAATTGCCCATGGCAAGGCCTATGAAAAGAAAGGGGTTCAGAGTACTTGCAGTATAGGCAAATATTTGACAGCACTGTTTCTGTTGATGACTGTGTGGGACTGATCATGCGTGAAGATTATCCTGAGTTTGGCTGCAGTCCTGATGGCATAGTATACTCAGATTACAATGCTCCTCGCCTTCTGGAAATCAAGTGCCCTTTCAGCCTAAAATTGTTGTCCCAGAAAATTATGAAGACGTTCTCACAGCAAAACAGAAAAGTTCATTTTGCCTTAGAAAAAACTTGAATGGAGACATTGTTTTAAAAGAGGAACATTCATATTACTACCAAGTGCAGTTTTCTCTTGGCATTCTGGGATTAGAGGATGCCGACTTTGTCATTTATACACTTAAAGGGATTTTAGTAATTCCTATACAATTTGACCCGAATTGGTGGAATGAGAAAGCAGACAAACTGAAAAAAATCCACCACAAGTTAATAGCACCAGAATATTTTTTGATGAGAACCCCAAGAAATTTATTACCATTTACTAAGGTCAATGTTGACAAGAAAATCCCTAACAAATTATTAAAAGAGTTGGTTGGCTGTGGGGACTTCAATCTTTTGAAGATATTAATCAAGACTGAAGGGTTGGATACATTTAAAGAATTGATTGAAAGTGAAGATCTCCATTTGTTGACTGAGTGTATTGAAAGGGAGGATTTGGATTCACTGAAAGAATTGGTTGAGAGTGACCAATTGATTCACTCTGCCTCAGAAGAAACATTTTCAAGTAAGAAGAAAGACTTTTTCAACGATACAGAATCTCTGAAATATGATGAATCTGATGATGAAGATTCGAATCCTGACAAGTGGTTCTTTGCAGACTGTGAAAGTTATGTGAATGCTAAATCTGAAAATCATAAGACAGTTTTTAGAAGTGGCAGTGCTGCCCCTGACAAAACTGTACTTGGTCAAGACTGTGATGCTTTAAGTGAGACTTATGATGGTGATGGTTGTGCTGAAAAGGCTGCCAGTGATAATAGTGAAGGCAGTGAAGACTGTGTTGCTTACAGTGTGGATGAGGGTAATGCTGAAAGTGATAATAGTGATAATAGTGTAGGTAGCCTAAACAGTGTAGCTTATAGTGTGACTTTTGATGAAGAGGGTAACGCTTACTTCTGAAAACTTGTAACATACCTTCCTCCTAGTTATTTTCCTAGTTATTTTTCTCTTCCTCTTCTTTACAGCATGCTTTGGTGTTTCTCCTTCTGCCTCTGGATGGACTCCCAATTCCTGTTCCTAAAAAAATAAAACCAAAGCTTGTTGAAGTTAAATTAATTATAAACTGAATGGCTGTTTGTATTGTAGAAAGAGAAGTCTTTTTATAAATTATTATCGTAATTGTTCAAGTATTATAAATTATTATCATAATTGTTCAGGTATTATAAATTGTTATGTTATGCTTAAGAACACCTTATGTGACATGAACAAGTATTATTAATTTCTATGTTAGCCTAAGAATACGTACTGTGGCAAATGAATCCGTCCCTCGTCTTTTATGAATAATGAATGACTGCTCCATTGTATATCCTCAGTAGATGTAAAGTCCTGCTAAAACATATTAATTGTGCAAATGCTTTCAGACAAATGGAGCAACGAGCCAATTTTATTATTGTTCTTACCTCGTTCCCATTGAAGTTTAAGGGTTCTGATGTCCACTTTTTACTGGTAGATATTACTTTATTTTTTCTTCTTCCCTGGACGCTGGATACAACAAAAAATGGTTGTTTTAACCTATGTTACAATGACAACACAACATCTGAAAATCAAAATTAAATACCTTTGGAGTTGGTGGCTCAATTGGTAGAACCATCCTGTGTATCTGTTGCAGTGGTAAAGAGAAATTCGACTAACTCGCCAGAACTGCTTCAGATGAAAAAGTTGTGATTTTAATCTGAGGTTATAGTATAAAAAGATGCCATTATCAGGACGTCCAGTACACCGTCCGTCCGCAAATAAATCGCGAAAAAAGTATTTAATGACCTTGCGTAAAATATTCCCCTAGATACCGTAAACCGGGGTAACTTGAGACAGCAAGGGTAACTTGAGACACTTCCGCTTTTCCACCTTTTCGGAGCTGCCACCTGGCTCGGCACAGTCGGAGGTCAAAACGCCCCAGCACTTTTTTTCCTACTTGTTTGGAAAGACGATTAAGCGTTTGCATGGCGGGTTAGGACCAAGCTGGTCAGTTCTATGACGATTTTTCAATTTTAGTAAATTTAACAATTTTAGAGAAGTGTTACAAGTCTCCCTTGGTACTCGTAACACGTCTTGCTGAGACCCAAATGATCATAGTATCTTTCAACCCCATTATTTCAACATTCTAAACCATGCGGCACCAGTTGCGACAATCCACGCATGGCGTCAACATGTACCTTGGCCTGCGACACTTCCTGCTTGCTATCGGGAAGCCCTCACTGTAACAGGGTACTTGGGAGAAAACCCAGACCGGAAGTCAGCGACAGAACAGGAGAAGCAAAAGAGCGTTGGGAGGCCGTGCTGAGCGGTGGTGGGGGTCGAAATAGTGTACTTTCGTAGAATCCTGAACCGGAAGCAAGCAGACCAGCAGACGCCAAATTGGCCGGAAACTAACCTCTCTTCGGATCCAAAACTATAGCCGAGCTGTACAAATATTGCTCGCGAAACACATATGCACTGCAAACAAGTATCAAACGACTGTTTATGTTTAAGTGTGGCTGATACCTTTGACGGATGTCTCTTTCCAATGTCAAGTTTGGATCTACTTCCGCCAACATGGCGTCTGTGTGCTTCCGGTTCAGGGATCTACGAAAGTACCCTATCGGCGAAGTGGGGGTGAAAGCGGCGCGCGCATGCTGCCCCCACCCCGCCGATTTCGACCCCCACCACCGCTCAGCACGGCCTGACGACGTTCTTTTGTTTCTCCCGTTCTGTCGCTGACTTCCGGTCTGGGTTTTCCCTTAAGTACCATATTTGAGATGAAGGAGTGCGTAGAGCACTCTGTGATGAAGGATGGTAGTAAATACCCCTACTTGCAACTCTCTTCAACCCAGGGCCTGGCACCGATTGTCACAAATTTCCGATATTAATTTGGTTCAGATGGTCTTGCCGAGGCCTATCGCCATCGACAATGAAGTTCTGAGTCGGCCAGTCCGCGTTTACCCAGACCCCCAAGTGCGTTAACACGAAGTCGGGCTCCAAGACCCGCTTTCCGACCCCTTGTTGAAAAGGTCGTGGCGAGACCTATAGAAGACAGCAATCAATTTTTTGCAGTCGTTTGACCGTTGTATCGTTGGTGCATTGAGGCCTCAAGTTCTTTGATGGCCGTTTCAAAAGGAATCAAGATTCCCATCAGCTGTTGCATCATGGTTCTTTCTTCCCCCCTTCATATAAGGGCTTCCCTCTTTTTGGACGCCGCCTGCGCATCAAATCAAATAAGCGGATTAATAACGTTTAGAAATATACATTTGGACAGCAGTGCTGTGACGCTCTCCCGATCCTTTGAAGCCACGGAGGGGATCTCGTCACTATTCTTATGCCAGATGAAGAATAACCTTACCATCGCGAGGACTGACATTCAGCGGGTTTCAACCTCACCACTATACATGTATACCATTACTTTCAAAGAAGAAGGGAACACAGTCCATGATAACTCCTTTACAACCCATGACAAGTAAAGAGCAGGCCTAAAGCTAATGAGCACGGCCTGAAGACGCTCTTTTGTTTCTCCCGTTTTCTGTCGCTGAATTCCGGTCTGTGTTTTCTACGATGTGAATAGGGTACTTCGTAGGAAACCGAGACAGGAAGTCAGCGATAGAACGGGAGAAACAAAAGAGCGTCGGCAGGCCGTGCTGAGGGGTGGTAGGGATCGAAATCGGCGGGGTGGGGGCAGCATGCGCGCGCCGCCTTCACCCCCACCACCGCGCAGCACGGCCTGCCGACGCTCTTTTGTTTCTCTCGTTCTGTCGCTGTCTTCCGGTTTGGGTTTCCCCCGAAGTACCCTATTCCTTTTTAACTCATCGAGAAAGAGAATAGGGTACTTCGGAGGAAATCCAGACCGGAAGTCAGCGACAGAACGGGAGAAACAAACGAGCGTCGCGAGGCCGTGCTGAGCGGTGGTGGGGGCGTGGATGGGCAGAGTGGGGACAGCTTGCGCGCGCCGCCTTCACCCCCACTACACCCACATCGGCCCCCTCCACCGCTCAGCACAGCCGCGCGATGGTCTTTTGATTCTCCCGATCTATCGCTGTCTTCCGGTCTAGGTTTTCTCCGAAGTACCCTATTAAATGTCACTCAAAATCATTATAGAGTGTGAGTGTACGCCAGACCGTGTCTTGTTACAGGGTTCGCGATGCTGTGCTAGTTACCGCAATCCACGCATGGCATTTACACCTTCCTTAGCCTGCGGCGCTTTATGCTGGCCTTCAGCAAGCTCTGAAGAAATTTAAGTTGAAGCACTGTTGAGAGTACTGTTTGGTGTAGGTTTCCAATATAATATAGCTGAGTCGAATACTGTAACAAAATTTTTCAGAGGGTCACTCCCTTTTCCTAAGATGTTGAACTGAACAACTGCTGAAGTCGGGCACCTGGACCCCCTTCGACCCCCCGAAGAAAAAGTCTTGACGAGACTCATAAAATTTTCAGTCGGTCGACCCCCTTTTTCCAAGATCCTGATGTGAGCATCTCGTAGTAGCGGCTGATACTGTCGGAACCGGATCCATTAAATTTTTCAGGTCGCCTCGATTCCATAAGTACCCCTACAATCAGTACTATCGTCTATTTACGGCCGAAATCCTCCTGCGGCACTACAAAATCTACTGTATACTTAGTATACACCATTAGGAGTGCACTTGGGCCGCCTATCCGCTTGCACATGTATTCTCCTATAGGGCATTTTCACGAATCCCTGGCCCGGAAGGCAAAGAACAAAAGTCAGAACTAAAACCGCTAATACGCATGCGCAGACGTCCCCCCTCCACTCTGAGGCAGCGTCTGCGCATGCGCAGAAGCGGTTTCTGTTCTTACTTTTGTTCTTTGACTTCCGGGCCACACTGTGCGAAAAAAACACAGTGAATCCCGTTAATTTTTTTGCCGGGATTTACTGTAGTTCAGAACACAGGATTTACTGTGCCTGGCTTCAGTATTTACTGTACCTTGTACAGGATATTCCGTACTCCACTCCTGTGGTACAGTAAATCCCGTACAATGTACAGTGGATCCTGTAAAAAAGGTACAGTAAATCCTGTACTCTGAACTACAGTGACAGCTGTACTAATCACTACAGGATTTACTGTGATTTTTTCCAACAGTGCAGGGATTCGTTAAAATACCCTATTGATGTTTACTTGCCCAAGTGTACTCTTATAGATGTGTACTTGCCAAGTACACTCCTACAGATGTACAAGGTAGGAGTAAGCTAGACCGTGTCTTGACGTAACAGGCTTCGCGATGCTGCGCCAATTTCGACAATCCACGCCTGGCGTATACACCTTACAGAGGGTGGGGCACCTAGTGACACTTTTTGGATTTTGGCACTCACTCCGATACTGTACGAGAAATGAATCTGCTTACACTTCAGAAGGTTGTTTCGATCCTTCCTTGATCTCAAAAACGTGTTCTGGCGTTTTGGCAACACCTATTTCTACAAGGTAGGTTTACGCCAGACCGCGTCTTGTCGTAACTGGCTTCGCGATGTCTCGCTGCCTCCTGTTCCTCCTATCCGCGCCTGGCGTACCTACCTTGGCCTGCGGCGCTAGCCTGCCTTCCTCAGGCAATGGCTTCTCCATCGTCGGTTACTTCTAACTTGATGCATGTTAGGGGGCTCCGCCCCCCAGACCCCCCTACACAGTGGGCTGGAATCGCATTCTAGCCGCTTATAATTAATTTCTCTGCCACTCTTGGTTGTAGAGTCTTCAAATTTGGTGTGTAGCATCTTATAATGGCACAAAATAACTCCGTATTCTGTTTGTGAAGTAACTTTTCAATCAGCACTGACATCATATCTTTGTTAAGTAACTTAATTTCAGGTAAAGTAATATAACAAATTATGTAATTTGTTTATGCTATTTTTTCTTTATTTAAATTCATGTGATTGTTTGAGTGTTTCAATAGTTATATTGGTGATTATTTATAATGAATGTCTATACAACTTTGAAAATTAATTAGTATTATTTATTCTTGTCTAGGATGTTGGATGCAGCTGGGAACTTTTTTAAGAAAAGAATGTATCTTTGAATCTTCGCATAAACTTTGTGTTCTGACTATAAAATTCTACAGTATAACATTTATTGAGTATGTTTACTTCCTGCCATATGAACATTAAAAGGAACCATATCTGAATCGTATGAATAGTCTTTTAACAAAGAAAGCACTTTCATACAATACAAATCTAGTACATGGTCCACACTTTTAATAATAAAGAAGCATAAGAATATATACACTTCCATATATGTGTTGAGGAACGATTAAAGCAACAGATGGTCAAGTTCTTTCTTTTATTCCCCTTCTCTGCATGGCTATGAGACCACCCTCCCTGGCCAGGGTCGCACTCCAAGCCCCGAACACCCCACTGGCAAGTGCCACTGTTGCCCAGCCCATAAATACAACCGAGCCAGAGCTCCGCCAACAGTCTGCGGTCTGGCCTTGCCCTGTGAGCACCGAACCTCAATAAATACTCTACCCAAGCCAACGTGTTGTCTTCGCCCTTCACCTGCCAAACCCAACAACTGGTGACAGCGGTGCAAGTGGCGGCAACACTTGGCCGAGACTGGGTTTTTGCGAGGGGAAGTGGGAGCGCAAATCAGATCCGGATTGCCGAGAGTTTGCGAATGAGTGAGTAAACGAGTTGACCAGCAGCTCAGTAGGGGGTTGAGGCAAGTGCAGGAAGTTCAGGCTGACCACTGGACGGAGTCGTACAACCGAGCAGCCCTTGAGGCAAGTGCAGGTGTACAGGCTGTCCAGGCGGAGCCGCGAATCCGAGCAGCCCAACCCCAGAGCGAATGAGTGAGTGAAAGAGAAAGTGGTCTGAGGCGGTGCAGGCGGTTCAGACTGTCCACTAGCCGGAGTCGTGCCACCGAGCAGCCCTCGAGGCGGTGCAGGGGCACAGACTGACCGTTAGGCGGAGTCGCGAAGCCGAGCAGCCCTACCACGAGCAAAAGAGAGAGTCGAGCGGAACCGGCCAAGCCGAGCTGAGGACTTAGCCAACGAGACTGTGCTACTGGAACCCAGGACGCCAGTCTGATAACGGCAAGTCCACAGGCCGACAAAGCTGTGCGGCTACGAACTCGGAGTGAAAGAATTGGTCGCTGAAAGCCTCAGAGCCAGTACCAGAATAGATTTTGTTAGGTTCCAGTAAAAACTATAATAAAGAAATACACAAGTAAAACACAAAAATTTAATATGGGAAATCGACGGGAAAACGATTGGCCACAAGCCCTCGATCACGAAGAAAATATGGCACTTGATCTTGAAGGACTGGCCCCAGACGACGTCCTTCGAATAATTCAAGGCCCTGGAGCCTTGGGGGAGCCAGAACCACAACCACCCGTGGTTCCCCGTGGCCGAGGCCGAGGCCGTGGCAGAGGACGAGGGCGAGGGCGGGGACGAGGTGTAGGCCGTCCACGCGTCCAGCCAGCCAGGAGGGCACGACCCGTAGGGTTCCTGGAACCGGAACAAGGAGAGGAGGCTGATGAAAACATGGAGATTCCAGAACCCATGGAGGAAATGCCTGATGTAGCCCAACCATTCATACGGTTGTTGGAGCTACAAGAGCAGAGAATAGCTCAACAGGAGATCCGAATGGATCAACGATTGGCTCAACAGGAGGAAAGATGGATAGAGCGTCTCCTCCTTACCCAAAATCAGCTTCAGCCACCACAAAATCTCCGCGCCGGAACCCAGGAACCGACGGCGTCGACGTCACGAATCCCCGAGTACGATGGCGAGCAGTGCTACGCCATGTGGCGACAGCAATTCGAAGTCGTCACCGCAGGATGCTCTGAGGAAGAAAAAAAGAGGAAGTTAGTAGGAGCCCTGCGAGGAAAACCAGTGAGTGTTCTTGCTATGCTACAGCAACAGCAGAAACAAGTCACCTTTGAAGAGGTGGACAGCATTCTCGCCAGGACTTACAGCAAGGCGACATCGTATTGGCAACGAAAGAGGGATTTCGAAACCATGCAACAGAAAGAAAACCAAAGCATTCAAGATTTTGCTCTGGAGCTCGAACACGTAGGGCGCCAATATATGGTGACCCAGAACGAGCGGGATATTCAGGAGGCCCTGGTCTCAGCCTTTGTCAAAGGGCTTTACGACAGGAAAGTGGCAGTACAACTGGCTTACTCCTCAAGCGACACCCTTGCCGACGCGGTCAAAAACCTTAACCGCGCACTACTACTGTCAGGCGAGCAACCTGCCAAACGGTTGCGACTCGCCAAGATCGACGAGGACGACACCGACATGGAAGTCGACAAGGAAGCACCGGTCAGGCAGTTCGACCAACAGCCTGCCGCTGCCGGGACTTCCACCGAGACACCCACCCAAACCACCTGGAGGGGTAGGGGCGGAGGTCCAGGGAGCCGTGGAGGCCGCGGAAGCCGTGGAGGCCGAGGAAGCCGTGGCGGCCGAGGCAGAGGCGGCGGAGGCAGAGGAGGCGCAGGCTACGTAAACGGCGAAGCAGTCTGCCACAACTGCCAGCAGCCTGGACATTTCGTGGCAAACTGCCCCCAACCGCGAAGAAATAATAACGGCGGAAACAACAACGGCAATCACAATAACAACGGCAACGGCAACAACAACCAATCCGGAGTGGAATGCCACTACTGCCGAAGACGAGGCCACGTGATTCGCGATTGCTGGGACCGCCAGAGGGACGAACAGAATGGCGGAGGCCCTAGAGGAGGGCAGCGGGGCAATGGCAGGGGAAACAGGCAACCAGATTTTCCCCCAGAAGCCCTACGCATGGCAATGGCGTTTTACCAATTCCAACAAGCTGCGGGGCAACAACAGCAACAACAGCAGCAGCAACCGCCACAAAGGCAGCAACCTGCCCAATTCCCTTACGTCCCTCCTCAGCCGGAAAACTAGTCGAGACGTCCGCCCAGTCGGAGGGGAGCAGGATGTCTCTAAACCAGGTCGCAGCACAAGGAACCAGTGAAGTCCAAACTCCGACCCCTAAAAAAGAAAATAAAGAAAATATGATTAGCAAACGGGCTACGAAAAAGGCCAAAAGACAGATAGAGGTCTTAACAGACAGAACGGCAAAAGAAGCTAATCACCATAATCATGGGCAATGTGAAACCTGTGAAATTTGTCAGGCATGCCCAGACGAGCCAAAACTGAGAAACGCTCCATACATAAAATGTAAACTACTGGGAGAGGACACTGAAGCCCTAGTCGATACTGGAGCTCAAATCACTGTTCTTAAGAGAACCAAGAGAGATTTACCCAGAGCAAAGTTGAGAATGAAAAGTGCTACAGCACACAGAGCACCACTTTTCGGACCAACTTGGACAGACGTAGAAATTCAAGGAAAGACCTATCCTTTCCAAGTCTACGAGGCTGATATCACAGATAATCTACTAGGATATGACTTCCTGGAGTACCACGATGCAACGGTACGGTGCAAGAGGCGCCATGTATTATTTGGAGACAGTGAAATGGTCCCGTTCAGGATACAGAAAACCATGAATAAAGGACGGTTTAACGATGGGCAGTTGTACTATGTGGTGAGAGCTAACACAAAAATGCTCTTACGGCCTTTTGTTGAGAAGAGTCTCTCCACGGTGCTGGATGCAGACACCACAGTGGAGGAGCTGGGAGATGTTAACGAGTGGCTGGAGTGTGAGGCGGCGGGCGAGGACGAGCCCCTGGAGGAGATGGAGGTGCTGTCCACACCGAAATCGAATCTCGGGACCACGTCCAAGTCACCCCTCACACCTCAGGAGGAGGATAAGGAGAATCAAGGCCCCAGTTCTGGAAAAGAAAAGAGGAAAAGTAAGAAACAGCGAGTAAAGCCCAAAGATGTGATAAATCTTAAGCAAACCACTGTAAGAGCGGGACTATTTGCTGCCAACAAGTTCACAGAAAATAAAGTTTCAAAACTACCAGCAACAGTACTGGTACAGTCTGGTATGGTGCCCTGTGTAACAGCACCCTTAACGGTCAAAATTCAAAACCTAGGAGATAAATGTGTGCAGATCCCTAAATACACAGTCATAGGGGAAGTGTATTTGGTACACCCCGAAAAATATAGTAAAACGGAAGAACAGTGGGAAAAGACCCACTGCATAATGGGCGAAATGTCGCCAGATCCCGAAGAAAAAGAAGAAGGGGAAGAAGATGAAGACGAAAAAGAAGAAGTAGCAGTGGTCTGTGAGTGTGGAGCAACCATCACAGAACACGAAATACAACCACATTTTGGAGCAGAAATAATCACGCAACCAAAACAACCACCATTAGAAACCCTACCAGACGATTTAAAAGAATTATGGGAACGGAGCAGCAAGAATCTCACAGAAACCCAAAAGAGAAAACTGGAAAATATTTTGAAAAAGAATCACGATGTTTTTGCCACAAGCGAAAACCCTTTTGGAAAATGTCCTTGGCTCCAATTTCGAATAGACACTGGAGACCACCCACCTATTAAACAAAATGCAAGACCAGTCCCCCTACACTATAGGAAAGAAGTACGAGACACCTTTCTAAAATACCTGAAAATGGGGGCGATCAAACCCAGCCAATCAGCTTGGGCGTCTCCAATCTTGTGCATCCCAAAGAAGTCCGGAGAGGTGAGAGTTTGCGTAGACTACAGAGCGCTGAACGCCATCACCAGAGTCCCAGCAGCACCAATACCTCGAACGCAGGAACTCCTGCAACATTTGGGAGGAAAACCATTTTATCACTCGTTCGACTTAGCCAACGGGTATCACAACCTAGTGGTGCACCCAGACGACCAACCCAAAACAGCTATTATCCTTCCAGAAGACCTGGCGTTACCTTGCAGACAGTACGAGTACACAAGGCTGGGCTTTGGCCTGTCAGCAGCTCCAGGAGCATTCCAGTATGTGACAGACCGGTTGGTGACTCCACCGGCAGAAAAGACTCCAGACAATGACATCGGAGAGACCGTGGCAGTCTACATAGACGACGTCTGCATAGCCGGAGAAGATGTCGAACAGATGTTACAACGGCTCCAAGCCTTCTTTAATCGAGTCTGAGCGTCAGGGTTCCTCCTGAAAGCAAAGAAATGTGAGTTATTCCAAACTGAAGTTTCCTTCTTGGGACATGTACTTTCCCACCGAGGAATCATGGTGGACAGAAAGAAAATTCACCTTATCACACACTGGCCAACTCCAAAGGACGTGAAAGAGGTGCGGTCATGGCTCGGCCTAGTCCAGTACTACGCCAAGTACGTGCCACACCTCGCCACGATGGCCACACCAATGTTCGCTCTCACAAGACTTGGGACAGTCTTTAACTGGACGGAAGAGTGCGAAGGAGCCTTTAAACAGATAAAAGACAAATTAGTCTCTCCACCAATCCTTGGAACACCCAAGGTGGACAAAGGGAAGTTCACCCTCACTTGCGACGCAAGCCTAACGGGACTAGGGGCAGTCTTAACCCAAGAGCAAGACGGAAAAGAGGTCACTATAGCGTATTGGTCAAAAATCTTGAACCAAGCACAACGAAACTACTGCGCAACTCACAGGGAACTCCTAGCCCTGGTGGAGGCGCTTAAGGCCTTTAACCATTACCTGGCCGGCGCGCCATTCACGGTGCGTTCCGACCATGCGGCACTCCAGTGGTTGAAAAACTTCAAAAACCCTACTGGAAAACTGGCCAGATGGCTGGAGAGACTAGCTCCTTACAAGTTCGAAGTAGTACACGAACGAGGGGTCAACATCGGGCACGCCGACGCACTAAGCCGGAGACCCGCCCGTCCTTGCATGCCTGGATGCCAGAAGTGCCTCAAACTGGAACAGCGTGACGCCCTGGTGAACTGGACACGGGTCGACGAGGCGAGAGCAGCCTCACCTGAAAAGTTCAAGATAATTCACATACAAGGGTCGATATTCTCCAGCCCAATAGAAATCCCATTATGTCACGCAGTCAGCCATGACGGCAAGTTCGGACGAGGCCTAGCGCTAGAAATAGAAAAGCGCTATGGTGTGCAGAAGGACTTCCTGCGACAAAAAGATCGCGGATGTCCAGGCCTCACGATTTCTCATACTAGAGACAGAGTAATCGCAAACGTCATAACCAAAGTAAACCACCACGAAAAGCCTAGTCCAACGGATGTCGAGCAGGCGCTACTCACGCTTAAAACGTGGATAGTGAAGTACAATATCCGCGAAATTAGTATGCCAGAGTTCTCATGCGGGTTGGACAGGCTAAAACTGCAAACCCTCATCGAGATTTTGAATAAAGTTTTTGGCGACCTGGACCTCCACATCCACATGTACCATTACGAGCCAAGCACGGGTGTGCACTGGAAGGCTTGCAACGAACATTGCCATCTCTGCGAGGTAGAGGACCGAGAAACTGTACGGGCAGACCCAGAGGACATGGTGCTAAACTGGACCACCATAGCGCCAGAAGGAGTCTCACCCACAACCATGATCAAAGACCAGCGCCTAGACGGAGATATCATGCCCATTTACCTGGCAGTTCTAGACGGGCAGAAACCACACTTCCAGGAAGTCTCCAAGTACGGGCCGGTGACCCGAACACTCTGGCACAACTTTAACTCGCTGGCGATCCAAGGCGACTTGTTGTACCGCAAAGAGGAGCATGCAACGGGAGACCCTGAAAGGACAAAGATGCTGTTAGTACTGCCTCGAAAACATGTCAAGACCACAGTCACACTGTACCACAGCCAGCTGGGGCAGACTAACCACTTCGGCATCCACAAGACACTGGACGCATTGAAGCGTTTCTTCTGGTGGCCGGGCATGGCCAATGACACGGCCGAGGTCATCGCCAACTGCGTGCTGTGCATCCGAGTCAAGGGGCCGTTGCACCCCACACGAGTGCCGTTGAGGATCTTCCATGATGGCGTCCTGCACGGGCGGTGGCACGTTGACACCGCAGGCCCCCTGCCTGTAACAGAAGAAGGCTATAAGTACGTCATGGTGGCAATAGAGGCCCTATCTGGATGGCCAGTCTTGGTGCCACTCCGAGCCCAGACAGCCAAAGAGCTGGCCCAAGCACTAATAACACACGTGTTCTCGGTCTACGGGGCCCCTCTGTCCATACTAACAGACAAAGCCCCAGTCTTTGAGTCCCAGTTGTTTCACGAAATCATGGGGCTATACCACATCAAGAAGACCCGCACCACAGCCTACCATCCATCCGCGAATGGAAAGGCAGAACGATGGGTACGAACCCTAAAACAAAGCCTTAAATTGCTTTGCGACGGGGCACACAGGCGATGGGTAGAATATTTACCCTTCATCGCACAAGCATACAGAAGCCTACCCCACGCCAAGCACAAGTTCTCGCCTTATGAAATAATGTTCGGGGCACCGATGAGAACACCCCTACATCTCTCACAAGGACCTCCTCCAGAAATACCAGTCTGCATGGAGAGATACCCCTGGGCCGTGCGGAACGCCTTGTTCCACATCCATGAACAAGTGCGCAAAATTCGCGACGAGGCAGCAACCAGGATGAAGGAGTACTACGACCGGACTGCGGGACTTGCACCCTTCGAAGTAGGGCACAAAGTGCTACTTTACAACAAAGCACTGAAGCCCGGAGAGGCCGCACAAGCTCTACACGTACCATGGCTAGGACCTTACACGATACTCACTGTGCTAAATGACTCTGATGCCAGGATACGGAATGACCGGCAGCCGAACGACGTCCAAATAGTCCACATGGACCGGCTGGCTCCGTGCCCCATAGGCGGAGGAGAGTCCATAGGCGCATGGGCCAACTTCACAGGCCCAGAAGAGTCAGACCCCGACCTAGAGAACAGACGAGAAGAAAAACGGCGATGAAAACCGGAAATAACAACAAAACCGGAAACAGAGCCCCCCCCCCAACAATGACTACCGAACGGGCCAAAGGGAACCGCGGCAACGCAACCCCTCTAGAACTCCTCTAGAACTTCCAGCTTTGCCTCAGAAATGAAACAAATCAGGAAACTCAGCATGAATGAGTACAAAGAGCGATACAAAATACCGCGAAGAGCGCCCAATTTAATAGAAGCCCTAAACAACTTGGCTATCTCTCCTCTGGCCGAGCCGGCTGCTCCAGACACACCCCTCCGACGAAAAGCGGTACATAAACCCAGACGCCTCGGAGTGGGAACAGGAAAAGGAAAATCTACGATTTGGAAACAGGTAACCACAAAGGAGAGAGCAAAGAGAGGGTGTGGAAAAGGGGGTCAAGGAAAGTTACCTAGGACGGTCGAATTGACCAAGTCGACTTTTTCATCAGCAGGCCCGCACACACCAGTCCTCGGAAATCCTGGCCGATGGCAGCGCGGTGACTGAGGAACGACGACTACAGCGGGACGAGGAGGCAGCGCGACGGCGGGCGTCCACCTTGCCGCCAGAACAGCTCGATGAGGACATCCTGCTGCAAGGCGACGAACCCATGGACACCCTGGAGGCCGACGAGGAGGCCATCCTGCTGCAACAGGAAGATCTGCAACAAGAAATAGATGAGACTTCAACGAGCCTCAGAAGGAAACCTCCAACGGAGAACCTTGAGAAAACTGAACGCCCTCAGAAACAACCTCAGAAGAAATCCTCAGAAACCCTTCCGATAACCCCAGTGGGAGTCGAAGAGCCCCCACGAATACCGACCCCACCCTCACTAGAAGAACTACTAGAAGAACTCTTCTTAGAGCAAACCCTGGAAACTCCACAAGAGGCGCAGGTTCCCTTACTCGAACAGTCACAAAGTGAACCTCCTTCTCTGGAAGCATACGTCCCCCAACCTATGGACTGTATAAAATTCCCAGAGTATGTTCCTCGACCCTTGATGAAGCGCAAACCCAGAAACCGCTTCCGTTGCTGGAATTGTCTGAGCAGAGGACACTCAAAAGCCTACTGCACAAAAATGCCGCAGAAAATCACTAAGCAACTAGGCCTGGCATACAACGCAAGATTACCTTTGACAACGGCACAGTTGGAATGGCAGCAACTCCTCCAGCTGATTCCACAGCCGCCGGCTCTCCAAGGCACGTCCTTCCAGTCCACGGATCAGCAAAATCCCAGGCAGTGAAGAAAAGACGAACTGCACTCAAGTTCTCCGCAAACCTGTAACAAAAATTAATTAATTGAATACCTCCAAATAATCTAGAACATAACCCTTACAGCCATTGTCTGATGACTATCTATTATTTAAGCCGATGACTAGGCCCAGAAAACAAAATAAAAATACTTTGAGGAACTGTAAATAGGAACCAAATTAGAGGTTATGTTTTCAGACGCCGAAACTGCCTACAAAGTATTGTTTGAAATAAAGAATTGTTTTGCCACTGAATACCCTGAAAAACCTTTATTCCCCACAGGCCAACGGCCAACTTAACCTCCTTTAAAATAACTGATACGCTGAAACATTTGGAAACCGGCCTAGGCCAAGCCAAGAGAGCCCCAGACAGAAAATAAACAATGCCAGAACACGCTCAGTACTCGGGAACAAGGAGCATCGCAGAGCGACAGCATTCGCGACACGAAAGCCTTTCTCACACACAATAAACCCAGTCGAAGTCATAAAAAGGTCAAGAAACAGAAGAAAACCTTCAGACACACACGAGAACTCTCCGGAGACGCCATGACACTGGCCTGACGAAAGCAGGACTACGCGAGTCAAGACGGCTCAGAAGCGGGCGAGTCAAAACAACAACTGAATACCCCAACGCGCGGAAAAATTTAAAATAAACTCACCAAGAGTGATGACACTCAAACCAGCCCGAAGAGAACCGACAAATGTCGACATTTAAAGGAAACGAAGGATTTAAACGTTTTCCTTATGTCCTGTAACACTCAGATAAACTCGACCGTACACCAGTCGAACGGTAATTAATAAACAAAGTAAACCGTCTCTAAAACAGGAAAGGACTACAAGTGCAAAGTGCAATAAAAAGTCCTACAAGTGTACGTTAAGAAACAACTTACGCTCCAAGCAGTGTGTACGCTACACCCAATATGTGTCCACGTCTCCAAACAAACAAGGAAGACAGTATTGAAACTGGTTTTATTTATCAGACTAACCAGCACTTTTTTTTTGATCAAAGAAATAAAATTTGAGAAACTTTACCAGAGTTTTAACGAACTAAGATAAAACAAGGCCAAGTAATTGACAATCAAACTCAAATGAATAAGACTCAAGTCAAGAACATTTCTTTTTTTTAAAAAAAAGGAAGATAATCCAAGAGGAGAAAGAAGAAAACACATAATTGAATTTTCTTAAAAAAAAAAAGCAATACACATCAAAAAACTATAGTTCTACGCTGGAGGCGAGTGCCGCGGCGATGGCCCGTGCTGCAGCTCTCTCCTCCCTGGCGGCGGCCTGTCGGCGCGAGAGGGCCAGGACGCGGGCATCCCACGCCTGGCGTTTCGCGCACCGACAGGCACGCTCTACAAGAATGACCCCAGGACACCCCGGGGAGGCCGACGCGAAGGGGCACCGAAATTGGTGCTCCCACACGTGGTGCACTCCCGCGAGGCGCCTGAGGCCGTCCTCGGCCTCTTCAACAGGCTCGTGGAAGTCCGTGATTGACTCCACCGCCACAGGACGACGAACAGCCGCCAATTGCCGCGCGACAAAGTCGGCGCAGTGGGAGCATGACTGATGAAGGACCCGTGTCACAAATGACCCAAGGCACACGAAGGAACGCCACGAACACTTGGAGACTTACCGTCCAGGAGCCAACTCCTCCAGGCCCAAAACGCACGACCAACCCCACCATGCACTTCGGTTTTTCATCTCGTTCCTCGGGAGATCCGGAGGGAATTGGAGGAGGCAGAGGTGGCGGAGGGGGAGTCATCAAGCCAGGAAAGATCAAAAGACTCGGGCGCTCGAAGGAGGGACAGTAGCGGAGAACCAACCAGCCAGGTTGAGCTCTGAACCACCTCTGCGCGCTAAACAAACCCGCAGCCAGGCGACCGAGGTTCCCCCTCCACCTGCCCAGTTTCCCCCCACCTCCACAACCAGTCTAGTTGGTGCCAACCCCCAACCACTACGACTAATATTTGAGTTGCCAACATTGAAAGTGTGGAAATAAGTGTTCAAGCGCCAAGAAAACAACAAATACAGAGCCAAATGTTTATTACTAAAACTAAAACCAAAGGTGCAAAAATGGAATTACGGGAAAGATACAAAAAAAAAACTGGCAAAAATACAGAGAAGATTGTCATAAGGAAACCGCTAAATTTAACTACAAAACCGTCTAAGTCCAACTCTATCAAGAAAACTACAATTACAACAACTGAAGCTACAATGTTACAGAAAATTTCTACAAAAGTACTGCCGCCCGGGCTCAAGGGTTACTCAACGAGAATGTCCTCAGGGTTGAAGTTATCCAGTTCACCCTGAAGAAGGTTCACCCGGGCTTGGGCACGGGCAAGGTCGACCTTAGCACTCTTCAACGAAGCCTCCAATGCCAGCCGCTCAGCTTCCAGGGCCGGGTTCCCATAGCATTTTCGCTTGGCGCAGTTGCAAATCCGGGCACTCGCCGGCTGGGCAATGCAGTCGCCCCAGAAGCACCGCGCCAGCTCACAGTGGAACCCCATCTTGCTATATTTCTCCTCCCCAATGATGCCGCGATATAGAGTCTCAGCAGCTTCGGAGGGCTCGTGGAACTCCACGACGCCCTTCCGCTCCAGAACCTCATGGGTGCCCAAACTCAACCCAATGTAATGTGAGGCGCAAGAGTGGCACAACTGCAACCAGAAAACCAACCAATTTTAATAACCAGCAAAAAAAAAACAAAAAAAAAAAAAAAAAAACACGAACACCCAGTATCGCCCAAATACCTTCTTACCCAACGGAACTCTGGAGAACCAACTGGTCCCACCTTCACAATCTTCCCTTTTAGCAACGGGAGGGTGGGGGAATTGGCGAAGGGGAACAAAACCGGAAACAGAGCCCCCCCCAACAATGACTACCGAACGGGCCAAAGGGAACCGCGGCAACGCAACCCCTCTAGAACTCCTCTAGAACTTCTAGCTTTGCTTCAGAAATGAAACAAATCAGGAAACTCACCATGAATGAGTACAAAGAGCGATACAAAATACCGCGAAGAGCGCCCAATTTAATAGAAGCCCTAAATAACTTGGCTATCTCTCCTTTGGCCGAGCCAACTGCTCCAGACGCACCCCTCCGACGAAAAGCGGTACACAAACCCAGACGCCTCGGAGTGGGAACAGGAAAAGGAAAATCTACGATCTGGAAAAAGGTAACCATAAAAGGGAGCAAAAAGAGGGTGTGAAAAAGGAAAGTTACCTAGGGCAGTCAAGTTGACCGAAGTCGACTTTTTCATCAGCAGGCCTGCACACACCAGTCCCCGGAAATCCCGGCCGACGGCAGCGCCGTAACCGAGGAACGCCGACGACAGCGGGACGAGGAGGCCGCCCGACGACGAGCATCCATACCGCCTTCAACCATGACGCGAGAGCAGCTCGATGAGGACGCCCTCTTGCAAGGCGACGAGCCCATGGACACCCTGGAGGCCGACGAGGAGGCCATCCTTCTGCAACAGGAAGACCTGCAACACGAGATAGACGAGATATCCAAGACATTAGAGGAACTCCAACGGGCATCGATTAACTCAAACAAAGACACAATCGAGACTGTCCTAACAGAAGCGGTACTGCCAACCTCAGTGGAAGTCGAGGAATCTCTACAAATACCGACTGTTCCAAAAGAAGCAGCACTGTCAACCTCAGTGGAAGTCGAGGAACCTCTACCAATACCGATTCCACCCACACTAGAAGAGCTGCTCGAAGAACTCTTCTTAGAACAAATCTCAGAGACCCCACAAGAGCTGCAAGTTCCCCTGCAGGGACAGTCGCTAGGAGAACCCTCTCCACTGGAGGAATACATCCCTCAACCCATAGACTACACAAATCACCCAGAGTATATTCCCAGACCCGTGATGAAGACCAAACGCAGAGAGCGCTTTCGTTGCTGGAACTGCCTAAGCAGAGGACATGCAAAGGCCTATTGCACTAATACGCCACGAAAAACCACCAAGCGACGAGGCTCAACATACAACACGACTTCCACTAACCTCATGAGGACGACGGTACAGTCAGAATGGCAGCAACTCCTTCAACTGATTCCGCAGCCACCAGCCCTCCAAGACCCGTCCTTCCAGTCCGTGGACCAGCAAAATCCCAGGCAGTGACGAGATGACGGAACTGCACCAAAAGTTCTCCGCAGACCTGCAACATAGAAAAGATAGAATGCCTTCCAGCGGAGCAAAACATAACCCTAACAATCACTGTCCAATTACTATCTTGGCCCAAGTGAGAAAGACTAGGCCCCAGAAAGCACTTTGAAAAACTGTAAATAAAGCTAAATTTTGAGGTTAAGGAAAATAAATACCGGAGCTGCTCACGAGAAAGAAAAGTTTGAAATAAAGAATTGTTTTGCCACTGAATACCCTGAAAGGCCCTCATTCCTCACGGGCCAATGGCCAACCCAACCTATTCAAAATAACTGATACAAATCGACACATTTAAACACTTCGAAACCGGCCTAGGCCAAGCCGAGACAGTGTCCAAACGGCAAACAAACAACGCCAAAACACGCTCAGTTCTCACGAACAAGGAGCTTCGCAGAGCGACAGCATTCGCGACACGAAAGCCCTTCTCACTTAAAACAAACCCAGTTGAAGCCGCAAAGGCCAAGAGAGAAAAGAAAATCTTTAGACACACACGAGAACTCTCTCTCTGGAGACGCCATGACAGTGGCCTGACGAAAACAGGACTACGCGAGTCAAGACGGCTCGGAAGGAGCGAGTCAAAACAACAACCGAATACCCCAACGCGCGGAAAAATTTAAAATAAACTCACCAAGAGTGATGACACTCAAACCAGCCCGAAGAGAACCGACAAATGTCGACATTTAAAGGAAACGAAGGATTTAAACGTTTTCCTTACGTCCTGTAACACTCAGATAAACTCGACCGTACACCAGTCGAACGGTAATTAATAAACAAAGTAAACCGTCTCTAAAACAGGAAAGGACTACAAGTGCAAAGTACAATAATTAAACCTACAAGTGTACGTCAAGAAATAACTTACACTCCAAGCAGTGTGTACACTACACCCAATATGTGTCCATGTCTCCAAACAAACAAGGAAGACAGTATCGAAACAGGTTTATTTCCTAGACTAATCAGCGAAAGACAATTTGTCAGAAAAAGGAATTCAAAAATTCAAGAAATCTTTTTGACAGCCTTGGAGGAATTCAAACAAAATAAAAATAAGAGAGGCAGAATAATTTAAACCGATAACCAAGGAATGAGTAAAATTTAAGTCAAAGGAAAATTTAACCAAAACAAGAAAAGAACCAAAAAAAAAAAAAGAAGAGCGAAGACACACAATTGCATTCTAAATTTTACAAAAGCAATACATAATCAAAGTTTTACAAAAGCAATACATAATCAAAGTTTTACAAAAGCAATACATAATCAAAGTTTTATAAAAACAATATACAATCAAAAAATTATAAAATAATGTTGGCAGCCAATGCCGCGGCGACGGCCCGAGCAACAGCCCTCTCTTCTCTGGCGGCGGCCTGCCGGCGCGAGAGCGCCAGGACGCGGGCATCCCATGCCTGGCGCTTCGCGCACCGACAGGCACGCTCTACAAGGACGACCCCAGGACACCCGGGGGACACCGATGCGAAGGGGCACCGAAATTGGTGCTCCCACACATGATGAACCCCAGCGAGGCGCCTGAGGCCGTCCTCGGCCTCTTCAACGGGCTCGTGAAACTCCGTCACGGAGTGGACTGCCACGAGACGCCCCACCGTCGCCAACCGCCGTGCCACGTAGTCGGCGCAGTGGAAGCACGACTGATGGAGGACCCCATGTCAGAAACCACCCAAGGCACACGAGGGAGCACCACGAACACTTGGGGACTTACCGTCCAAGAGGCAGCCCCACCAGGACCAAACTGCACCACCATGCCTACCATGCACTTAGGTTTTTCTTCCTCCGTGGAGGCAGTCGGCAAAGGAGGAGGCAATGGGGGAGGCATTTCAAGGAGCCTCTGAGCCGACGAAGGGAGGTCCGACGGAGGTTCGGGAAGGCAAGGGAGGTCCGACGGAGGTTCGGGAAGACAAGGGAGGTCCGACGGAGGTTTGGGAAGACAAGGGAAGTCCGACGGGGTTGAGCGGAGCAGCGGTGGTGGAACGAAACCGGACTGGTCAAGCTCTGAACCACCACTGCGCGCTAAACAAACCCGCAGCCAGGCGACCGAGGTTCCCCCTCCACCTACCCTCTTTCCCCCACCTCCACAACCAGTCTAGTTGGTGCCAACCCCCAACCACTACGACTAATATTTGAGTTGCCAACATTAAAGGTGTGAAAATAAGTGTTCAAGCGCCAAGAAAACAACAAATACAGAGCCAAATGTTTATTACTAAAACTAAAGCCAAAGGTGCAATAAAGAAATTACGAGAAAGATGGGAAACTACCAAAATTTAACTACAAAACCGTCTAAGTCCAACTCTATCAATAAACTACAATTTTACGGAAAACCTCTATAGAAGCACTGCCACTTGGCACAAAGGCTACTCAACAAGGAGGTCCTCAGGGTTGAAGTTATCCAGTTCACCCTGAAGAAGGTTGACCCGGGCCTGAGCACGGGCAAGGTCGACCTTGGCACTCTTCAACGAAGCCTCCAGTGCTAGCCGCTCCGCTTCCAGAGCAGGGTTCCCAAAGCATTTTCGCTTTGCGCAATTGCAGATCCGGGCGGACACTGGATGGGCGATGCAGTCGCCCCAGAAACAGCGTGCCAGCTCACAATGGAACCCCATCTTGCTGTATTTCTCCTCCCCGATGATGCCGCGATATAGAGTCTCTGCAGCTTCGGAGGGCTCGTGGAACTCCACAACGCCCTTCCGCTCCAGAACCTCATGGGTGCCCAAACTCAACCCAATGTAATGAGAGGCGCAAGAGTGGCACAACTGCAACCAGAAAACCAACCAATTTTAATAACAAAAAAAAAAAAAAAAAAAAAAAAAAAAAACAACGAACACACTGTATCGGTCGACTATCTTCTTACCCAACGAAATTCCGGAGAACCAACTGGTCCCACCTTCACTATTTTCCCCTTCAAGCAGCGAGGAGGGTGGTAGCTATGGACGAAGGGTTGGAGCTGGAACGGCCCTTCCCTGCATGAATCCTCATTCATGGTCATGAAACGGTGGGACGGACCCCAAGGACACGGTCTTCGGAATCCCTGCATCGTAGTCCGACGAGGGACGTGAAGAGGCAAAGGGGACGACTTGAAGAGGCAAAGGGGACGACTTGAAGCACAGCTGCAAACAGCAAGTAGTCCCAGTCAACAAGCCGCCTCCCAGGCAACCGCACTTGCGCCCATACCAACCTGGGCAACCTAAAATACCAACCTCCTAATCCCAATCCAATAAAATATTTTTCCACTCTGGAGGCGACTGGAGAAAAAGTTGTTGGGACTGAGCTCCTCGAATGCCATCGAGAGGGCTAGCCAATGACCAGTCGCTGTGCCCCTCAGCGAAGCTGCGAGCATCGCAGTCGCAAGAGACCAGGCGGAGGAATTGACCCTCGCAACCCGGGTTACGCCCCCAGAAAGGGCACTTTCCAGGGGATTTCCAATTAGTGTAGCCGGTCTCATGACGGGCGTACCCCCGCGCCACCTCAGCGTAGCGGTGGAACACAACAGGGACTTGGGCTTCCACACAAATTTGACCCCCCCAGAATGACTCTTGATTTTCCACCTGCCACTTGACACATGGCAGACACATCTGGAAATTTACACAGTCAAACCCACGAGCAAATCAGCCTCAAAACCCAAATGAGTGAAGAAAATCTCACCGAACAGGACTTGGGCTCCCCATCGGGAGCGCCCATAGCATCCATCGTCACCATCAGGACGCGCCCAATCTTCCCTACTAGACACTGCCGCCCCGACTCCTGGTCGACGGCCCGATTGCGGACACCCATATCCAAGACCAGATACAAAAAAAAAAAGAGAAGGGAAAGGAAGACAGAAAAGAAGACGCTTTTTTTTTTAAAAAAAAAAAAGGAAAAATTCAGGCCAAGGCAAAGGATCAAGGAAAAAGGCAAAGGATCAAGGAAAAGGCAAAGGGTCAAGGACACAGGAAAAAGGGTCAAGGACACAGAAAGGGCAACGGGTCAAAGGCAGAGGCACTGGATCAGTCGAGTACCACAGAAGTACTCAACCAAACACTTGGCGACAACACAGGCCTTCCCCAGGCAACCGACACCTGCTAAATTACCAACCCTGAAAAGAGAAATTTCCCTCACGATTAAAAGAGGCTTACCTCACACCGGAACAGAGTACTCGTGAACCAGGAAAAGAGAAGACTCCTCAGCCTCCTCTCGACGACCACAAGAGCAGTCCCAGAAATTGAAAAGTCGAGCAGCGGGACAGAAAGGACACGCTCTTCGGAAGTGACAAAACCAGCCAGTAGGGTACTGCCCAGCAAGCTCAGCTATCAGATGGACATCCACAGTACTGTTTGTCACAAAACTCCACGCTCTAGGCTCAGTGGCAACGGCCCAAGCACAACACTCGAAGTGGCCCTGTAAAAGAATCTTATTTAGAATCCAAGGAAAATCCTCCATTCAAAGGAGAAAAACTCACTCACCTTAACGGGAAGACGACCCGGAGATCGAACCTTACGGTACTGGCCAACTAAACACTGCCTTCCTGATTGACGGTGCACCCCGGTAAAAAGGACACCCATCAAAGATGAGTGTACCAGAACAAGTGTGAAGGCGAGAGCTTGAGGGGCGGGACTGACGCCCATCCAGGCTCCGCATCGAGTGGGTCGCTACGCATGCGCTCCCCCACTTCAACTGCATCGAGTTCCGCGAAAAGCAAAGCCGTACCGACCAACGCATGATGAGTGGTTCGCACCAGCGAGACTCCAGACTGAATGACCGGAATGGCGCCAATAATTTATGGAAAGCCAGAGCTCGGCGATACGGAATAATAAGGCTCTAAAGATTACGAGGCGAGAAGCCGTACGTTGACACCAACGTCACGTTCCAAATCGAACGGTTATCGCGGATCGTTAAATCAAAGGGCTCGGCGAAAAGGCGGCAAGGCGGTCCAGAAGCTGGAAGCCGACCGAGTGAAATGGTGCCAACCGAGAAAAGCCGAACCAAGCGTGCGACCACACAGGAGCGGACGGCCAGAGTTGACATTTGTGGCACGGTAGGTGCCGGCCAGAACAATAGTCATTCAACCCGAGACCGATAGCGCACCAGGAAACGCGTTCAAGGCACGCACAGAGGCCAGTGGCCTAGGAGCAGAATGGGACGGCTCCAGTAGCCCAGAAGCCTCTCACAAGAACAGACATGGAAATTTTAGTCGCCCTCGGAGGGTTGGCGTTGGCCACCCTGCTAATCATCCGAAACATCTGCCGGCGAAGCAGACGACGGACCAGAGTCAACAAAATCATGGTGTACGTAGAAGGCAACATCGGAGTAGGAAAGACCACTTTATTGCAAAAACTGGCAGAAAAAGGGTACCCAGTGGTTCAAGAACCTGTGAAACTTTGGACCGACTGCAACGGAGTGAACTTCTTGGATCTGTACTCGAAGGACCTACCGAAATGGGCTTTCACTTTCCAAACGTTAGCCTTGTTTTCAATCTGGCACGAGCAAGCTGAGGCCTGTGGCAACCAACCTATAATAATTATGGAAAGATCGGTCCACAGTGTGGTGAAAATGTTTGCCCTCAATCAATTCAAGAATGGATTCCTCAGCCTACCGCAGTACTTATTACTGGAGAAGCTATCCCAGATGCTGTCAGGAAGATTTAAAAGAAGAGAAGTGTTCATCTACCTACACACTACAGCTAAGGAAGCACATCAGAGAATGAAGCTCAGAGCCCGTTCCGAAGAAACCGGATTGTCACTGCAGTATTTTCAACAACTTCAAGAGATTCTTCTTGGCTGGATGACTAAGGAAGAAAAACTGCAATTGGTGGTCAACGCGTCTCAAGGGCCCCAGGAAGTCTTCCGAGTGGTGGAGCGGTTCCTGCAGGCCTTGTGACAGCGGTGTATGTGGACGGAACAACGGCAGAGAGCATCCCCAAACAAAGTTAAGTATTCCAACTCTTTCAAAAGTAATTAAATTACTTAGAAAACGATGGTGTTTGTAGATAGGATTTAGCTAGCTAGTCAGGAAACACCAAGGCAAAACCCCCACTCTGAAGTCAGAGGGGCGAGAAAGAATGTTTTTCTGTGCAGTCCTGTTGTGTATGTTCAGGAATTACTTCGGAGCCGAGAACTTCTAGAACGACAAGAACGACCTACAGAAGACACCTTTTCTTCACTCCAGCCTGTCCGAGGCAGCACGCCAAGCCTCGAGACCTTCGGCTGTTAACTAATCACTTTCTCCCCTAATAGTAGCTATGCTTTTAAAATGTTGAACAGGCGCGTCAGAGGACCTCAGGACAGCTTCCCTAATGCTAGCTCGAGGAAGTGCCATGAGAGTCACTGACAACCTACTCTACGGAAGTTCAACTTGCTTTGCTTTTATTTTTATTTATTTTACCATGAAAGGCGGGTCAGGGAAGGACTGGACACCCTTACCCTGAGAGGCCTGATTGGCATTAGAACAGTGAATCCTTTTAAATAATCTTTAAACTACAAATGTACGGCTGGCAACAAGGGCACGAGCCAAACTTTTAAAGAAGGGAGTGGTGTAACTTTTAAAGAAGGGAGTGGTGTAACTTTTTAAAGAAGGGAGTGATGTTGAGGAACGATTAAAGCAACAGATGGTCAAGTTCTTTCTTTTATTCCCCTTCTCTGCATGGCTATGAGACCACCCTCCCTGGCCAGGGTCGCACTCCAAGCCCCGAACACCCCACTGGCAAGTGCCACTGTTGCCCAGCCCATAAATACAACCGAGCCAGAGCTCCGCCAACAGTCTGCGGTCTGGCCTTGCCCTGTGAGCACCGAACCTCAATAAATACTCTGCCCAAGCCAACGTGTTGTCTTCGCCCTTCACCTGCCAAACCCAACATATGTATATATATATATATATATATATATATATTATATATATATATATATATATATATATAATATATATATATATATATATATATATATATAATAAAAATATATATATATATATACATAATAAAGTGTCAAAGGAATGTTGGGAAAACTGAATATTTTCATTACATCATTGAAATCTAATAAAACATAATTGAAATGGTTGATGTACAATTCATTTCATGAAATCCGTTCTGAGCTGTCTTTCTTAGCAGATTAGTAGTTTTCAGTTAACAGCATAGTGCCTTGAATACTTTGTAGAAAACTGCTCAGCCTACGTTATTGGAGAACTGAAAAAGCATCAATGTATGGTGCCATTGTATGTATCTTGTACACTTTTTTTTACATTTTAATGATTATAGTTTGGTAAAGTAGTTGAATTTTAAGGTAATTTTGAAAAGCGAATGGTAAATTGTCACCATGATATACAAGTAGGGTGGGCTGCAATTTGGATAAGAGTTTTTGTATTAAATTTTTTACCGTGTCTTCATTCGTTTCGAGCTCCCACCACCATTCTTCAAGGTACACTTTGCTTACGCTTGTCTCCCATTGAAGAAGGTAAGGGATGGACTTAATTTGAAGTTCTGCTGTGCTCCAGTCAGGTGAAACCGTTATCCCAAGGTGTCTGTATGTTTCTTTGAGTACTTGATAGTATGGTATGATTCCGGCTTCCTTGCATAAGGCTTTTTTTGATCATCAGGTTTGAGTATTTTCAGGCAGATATCTTGAAGGGACTCAGGGCAGTACATTTTGTTCAAGACCTTGAAAAAAAAGGATGAAAATTGTGACATTTAACTTGTTTTCTTTGGATAATAGAAATAAACATGGTCACATTGAAATGAAGTTCCAAAAGTGGTGAAAGTTCTATGTATGAATATACTATGAAAAAAATAATTATCGACTTTATGATAGGTCTCACCGTGGGTATACAGCAAAAAATTGCCGACGTAATTCTTACTACTTGGATTGTCTTTTTCTTAAACCTTTGTAAAATTCTGTGTGATCTTCTTGTAAGGTCGGCGATTCAAAAATGGTTGCCAAGCAACCCAAAGTATGGACAGTAGTTTCTGACAGATGCTGTTTCTTCCTATAAATTTTTTATTTTACGTTTGTTTATCGGTGACACCTGTTGGCGACGACTGTTAATGACCACTGTCGTTGACGCCTATCGGTGGCGCCTGTCGGTCACGGCGTGAAAAGGGCAGCGTGACTGTGTGACCAATTCGGCAGGCAATGGCTTGTCCGTCCATTGTTGGTTATTTTTTTAACTTGTTGCATGCTGGGGGGGCTAGCCCCCTAGACCCCCCTACATTCTAAGTAGGCTTTACCTACAGATTACACGATCTTGACCCTTGTAACTTTTTGGCTGAGCGATAGCGAAGCCCGTTACTCAGGTGGGGTTGAAAAGTTTTTCCTGTCTGCGTGTGTGCGTGCGTGCGTGTGTGTCCGCACTACTCCTCCTGAACGGCTCGGCCGATCTCGGTGAGATTTTGCACACTTTTTGGGTATGTCTAGAGACCACTAAATTATGCGCGTGCATAATCGCATATTTTGTTTAAGTATGAGAAAAAGACAAAAGAAAGACAGTTTAACATGTTTTAAGTAGGTCTACACCGGAAACAAGACCGCATAATGACGCATAATCTAAGCACAAACGCAACATAACGCATACTTGCATATTATGCGCATAAAGTCACGTATTCCCGCATAAACTACCTATTAGGCCTCCAAAATCCCGTAAAATACGCCGATTTACAGCTTTTGACGCGCCACCGATTTAAAAATACGCGCCCTTTGATTCCTGCGCCTTCTCTATACTCGTCACGTCGCGCAGTCCACCGCCCCGCCTCGCCCCCTCCACCCGTCTCGCGTTCTCGCCCGTTCCAGCATGTTCGACGAGGTTATGGACTTCGAGTAGTGAGTGAGTTTGCCGACAGACGCAAATGTTGTTCATATTGTGGTGGTGTTTTGGGGGCACGTGATAATAACATTAAATACTTTTTCATGAGCTAATTCTACTATTTGTCATTCCGCTCCTATTTTCCTCCTTCGCATATTTTTGCATAAAACCACAATTTTACCCGCATAAACCCCGCATAAAACTACATTTTTAGGCGCATAAAGTCCGCATAAATGGGTTAAAATGTGGCGCATAAAATGATGATTCTAATGCATAATTTAGTGGTCTCTAGGTATGTCCTTGGCTCGGCACACGCGAAATTTCACCATCCTAGCTCTACTAGTTCAGTTTTTATAGCCAAAAAACACATAAAAAACGGCGAAAAATCGAGTTTTCCGTAGGCAGATCTCTTGTGTCTTAAAAAAAGGGGGGCCTGGGGGGCGGAGCCCCCCAGCCCCAACAAGTTAAAAAGTTCCAAGGGTCAAGATCGTGTTATTTGAAGATGAAGCAAGTCTATCTAGAATGAAGGGGGGTCCAGCCCCCCAGAAAGAAACAAGTTAGAAGTAACCGACGACAGACAAGCCATTGCCTGCCGAAGGCAGGCTAGCGCCGCAGGCCAAGGTAGGTACGCCAGGCGCGGATTGTAGGAACAGGCAGCGAGACATCGCGAAGCCTGTTACGACAAGACGCTGTCTGGCGTTATCCTACCTTGTAACTTGTCGAGGCTAGGAGGCTCCGCCCCCAGAACCCCCTTTCTTTAAGACAGGAGTGATCTATCTGCAGAAAACTCGTTTTTTTCACCGTTTTTTATGTGTTTTTCGACCATTAAATCTGAACCAGTTGAGCTAGGATAGTGAAAATTCGCGTGTGCCGAGCCAAGGACATACCAAAAAAGTGTGCTAAATCTCACCGAGATCGGCCGAGCCGTTCAGGAGGAGTAGTGCGGACACACACACAGACAGACGGACAGACAGACAGAAAAAAACTTTTCAACCCCACTGGAGTAACAGGCTTCGCTATCGCTCAGCCAATAACTTGTTTATTTCGGGTCTAATTTTATAACTTGTGTTGACATTTTTTGCTTGTCTCGTCTAATCAAATCTATTTCCGTGATCAATTCAATTTTCATCCCGCTTTTAGTTTCTTAGAGGGTGTTATTTCTTCCCCAGCCGACTGTACTTTTCTTCCCCATTTCATTTTTACACTTATAAAAAATTGTGTTGAAGCCTAAGAGCATCGAACGGCACTGTTTTTCAAAGATGATGGTCTAAGCTATAAGGTGGTACCTTACATTGGACTGTCGGCTGATTCTGCAGGAAGCTGTAAGGGAGGGTGGGGTACAATGGGACACGGGGCACAATGGGACACTGTCAAATTAGCCTCCTTGCGGTGTTCGTAGGATCTGCGGGTTACGCTCGATTATAGGCCAGCAGTTGCCATGTTAGTTTCACAAAGCGGGAACTTTATTCGACTGAGCGTTCTTTCGGCAGGTCGAAGCAAAGTGCGAATGTAAGAAAAACGAGGTAAAACTAGCAAGATCGGAGAATTTTGTTTTTCCTCTAGCATTTAAAGTATTTGTCGCACGTTCGTAGCGAGTTCACCAGTGTGTTCGTTGGTCTTTTGAGGTTCAGTGAGACTTGTCTGGGCGCTCTGGCTTTTGGGGTTGAAGAGCTAGAGCGTGTCCAGTCCAGCGTGTCGTTCGGGGCACAATGGGACACCCTCGTTTTGGGCACAATGGGACGTGTTAATCAAAGGGCTTTCAAGTTTTAGTTGTAGTTTATGTCTAAATGAAGCCAAACCATTCGTTAATTATGTTATTCACAAGAATTTTGGCATCAAACATTTCATTTCCGCTTTTTACTGTATTTAACACTGCATTTTCTTCATTTGTTACTCATCATACTCCGGAATTTTTTTTTAAGGCAACCAGGGACGTAAGTTCTTTTTCAAAATAGTTTGTGACGAAAATAGATCAAAACCTATTGCCCACAATTTTTTGAATGCTCCTTCGCTTTATTTTTAGCTCATAAAAGGGTGTGTCCCAATGTGCCCCAAGGCTGTCCCATTGTGCCCCAGCCCGGGGCACAATGGGACAGGTGACACTTTTCGGCAAAATGTCTCCACAGACCAAAAATGCCGTATAATCAATTTTTTGGTCACATAAAAGTTACAGACAAATAAAGAACATTTTGAGCTATCGGGCGGCATTCTAGCTCCAACGGTCTCGGATCTAGGCCAAAAACAAAAAAAGCGTCCCATTGTACCCCACCTTCCCTTACTTCAAAGTACAAACATTTTAAAAAAAGATTTTCATAGTTATTTTTAATGTGTTTTTCAAACGTGATTCTAAA